CTTGTCACCCCACCTTAGAATCCCAGAATTTTTGAGTTTGGAAGGAACCTTGGTTTCCAACTGATCCAATCCCTATCCCAAAGAATCCCTCCTATGACATATCTGCTGAGTGGCTTGAAAATCACTTGAGGCAGCTAGTTCCACTTTGGGGCTGCTCTAATTGTCCAGAAGATTTTCCTGACATCAAACCTGAAGTTGCCTCTTTGCAATTTTGCCCCAATGATCCTAGCTTGGCCCTCTAAGTGTCCAAAGAACAAATTTAATTTCTTATCACATGACAAGACTTTTAAATATTTGAAGGCAGCCGCTATGCCATCCTCCTCACTCCTTGGATTTTCTCCTACTTAAACATTCCAAGTTCCTTTAATCTAGTAAAACAAGATCATAAATCTGGAGTTGGAAAAGACCTTGGAAACCATGTAGTACAACCTCCTCCTTCTATAGATGAGAGAAGTGGGCCTAGGGAACTTAAGTAACTTGTCCAAGGTCACACAGGAAGTAGGAATCCGAGGCACTTTTTCCATTTCAGGGCCAATGCCTATCCTCATTTGGTACAGACTCGAGGTTCTTCACCATATCTGCCCTGGAAGTCAGCATAGAGCAGGGGTTCTTGATCATAGTTCAGATCTGACCTCAGACACTTGCTAGCTGTGGGACCCTGGAAAAATCACTTGACCTCTGTCTGCCTCAGTTTCCTCAACTGTAAAATGGGGATAATAATAGCATCTACATCTCAGGATTGTTGTGAGGATCAAGTAAGTAATATTTGTAAAGTACATAGCACAGTGTCTGACATACAGTAGACATTTAATAAAATTCTTTTCCCTTTTGTATCATGGTCTGGTGAAGTCTGGTGTGTCAGTAAATTTTTTTCCCTTTTGTGTCAGTTTAGTGAAGCTTGTGGACCCCTTCTCAGAACACTAATTTTAAATAAACAAAATACATAAGATTACTAAGGAAATCAACCATACTGAAATACAGTTTTTTAAAAAAAATTAACAGACCCTGGGTCTTTGTTTTGTGGGAAGCAGCTTATCCCTTGTCTGCACTTATAAATGCTCAGAATAAAACAGTCACCCCTCACACCTGTGTGGGCAGCTTTTATTGACAGAGGACTTGGTGATGAAATACACATAGGAAGCAAGAACAAATACTTTCCCTCCTGTCTATATATCTGAGGTGTGAATTTTATAAGGCAAGGAAAAAAAAACTCTTTGAAATACAAAAATAAATGTCTTCCTCTTACTTGACAGTATACATTATCTTACAGAGAACAGAGTGCTTGAAAACAGGCTGAAAATCAGACAGGGACAATACGGTACAGAGAAATCTAACAAGAGAAAAAGAACAACCTCAAGGGAAGCCCGTGGGGCCGCTGAAGTAAGAAAATGCTCATAAGACAGGCATGAAATTCAGGCAATGTTTCGCATGGGAGTGGGGGGAGGAAAGGGGCGTGGCAGGACTAAAGAGAAGTTTTTGAACGACTTCGAAACAAAAATGTAAGTATTAAGGGCAAGGATCAGACATCAGTCTGCCCACCCAAAAATCTTCTGACATCAGCCCGTACGTGAAAGGCACACTGGCCAGAAAAGCCATATTGAGAGACAGTTGGTTCATAGAAGATCAGTAGGCTTAGAATTCATTTACCATAGCTAAGTGTTATCCCTTTTGTGGATTTCTGTAACAGCCTCTTTTTTGGAAGGGTGACCTCTCACTTCTGCTCGTAGGTCGAAAGAAACACAAGACGCAGTTTCCCTAAAGAACCTTCTTTATATACAGTGGGGGATCTTTGCTACTGGTCCCATTATAGAGACACTTTGACTGAACAAAGAATAGTGAGGGGCTTTGTTTTAGGAGTGAGCATCTTAAAGATGATATGGAGCAGCAGGAGATATTAATTTTTTTCTGACATGGCCCTCTTTGGCAGTCTAGTGAGGCTTGAAGATCCTCTTCTCAGAATAATATTTTAAATATATAAAAAAATACATAGAGTTACAAAGGAAACCAATTATATTAAAATAAAATTATATTAAATCACTCTTTTTTTCCCTATCCAAGTTCACAGGCCCTCTGAAATCTGTCCATGGGGTGTCTGCTAAGAGCCCTTTCTCTAGAGGAATCTTACCAACCACATCTCAAACACAGCTCTCCCTTAGGGGAAACCAAGTGATCTCTTAATACCATAAACTCCCTCATCCCCAGTATCTTCTCTGATCATAGCTAGTCAATATGCAAGGAGGAATTTTGTAGCAGGCAACATGTGACTAAAAATATACCTGATACTACTGATAGGTTCATGTGGGGCAGATAGTGATTTCTCTGCAATCAGAGCTTGGAAATTATTAGACTTTATAGCAAAACTATAGTTATTTGTTACTAAGAGCTTGCTTAGAATTATCCTAAGCATAGGTGGAAATAGTACCCAAACAGTCCCTGAATATAAGAGAAGGGCACTAGTGATTCACTGGAGATCTGACACTCATAATTCACAAAGGTTTAGCTGCAATTTTGGCTAAGGGCATCAGGTTTAATCTTTGTGCTGCTGCCCAAACCTTTCCCTTTGGGTCCCAGTAGAGCTGCAATGATTTGGGTGGGCCTGAGTGCAACATAAGATATGATCACCGGTTGCAAATTGAGAAATCTGGTTGAAGTTAGCAAGTCTGACATGGGATCTAGTTCGTAGCAACAGAATCTTTGACTACAAAGAAGGAAAATTTGCAAAGACTTTTTTGAAGATTCTAATTGCTTTTTTGTCCTCAAATATGGATCAAAAGCCCACTCTCCAATCATCTTAGCAACATATGATTGAAAATTATGACGCAGACTACATTCATGGTAAGAAGCCCTATGATGTCATTCTCCTTATCTCTGAAATGAGGCATTGTCATTTATAGCACCTAGAACATTAGACAGGGCACAGGAACTAGGGTCCCTCCTTTTCTGAGCTGTTGCTGCTTGTGCCAAACATCTGTTAATGACATAAGAGGGTCGGATCACCTGATTGCATTAACCCAGCCCCTTCTGAGATTACAACCAAATTCCTCTGCTCTCAAATCTCACAGGTAAAGAAAAAGTCAGGGTTTTGTTTTGTTTTATGCTTGCTTCAAATTAATTCTAGTAGCCCACTTTTGCCCTCTGTCTACCTCACAAAAGATCACGACCTTCAACTACCTTGAAACCTCTCCCTAAACTTCATCTCCCACCTCCTCACTTTACTCATTATCCCCAATTCCCCTACCTCCTCATTACTGCCTAATCCTTTCCAACTTCAGTGAAATCTCTCATCCTTATACAGCTTCCTTTGTGAACCACAGAAGGTTGGAGATCCCTACAATCGTAGGCACGTTGACCTTGCACTGGAAGAGACTTCAGAGTCATGTAGCTCAACCTTCTCATTGTATAGATACTGAATCAGAGACTCACAAAGGTTTAGATGGCTTATCCAAGGTCATTTAAGGAAGAAGGCGATCCAGGGTTTAAACTCAGGTGCTCTCTGACTCTAAATCCCCTTTACCCTGTTGTCTTTTCCCTGACCCTATCAGGACAAACCTTACTCTCTTATACTCTGAAAATCTTAAGAATATGTTCATTTTTCTCTGCTCTAAGGAGCAGAGGATGTAGAGTTGTGCCATCTCTAGAGGATGCCTGCCTTAAATCATTGTCTTGGGCTTAGCAGAATGATTTTCAGTGACTATTTCTATATTATCTGTTTCACATATGCCGTCAGTACCACTACTAGACTACAAGTGCCTTAAGAGCAAGGACCCTAACTTATTTCAGCCAGTCAGTCAACAAACATTTATTAAGTGCTTACTATATTCCAAGAACTCTGCTAAGTTCCAGGGACATTTATTTCTCCCTATATCTGTCCTACTGTCTTGCATAATGTTCTACACGCGGTAGGAATTTGATGAATGCCAGATAGAACCTCCCAGGTTGGTGAAAGTGGCCCTTTGGAAGATGTTGGCTTCATAAAGAAATTAGCTTCACTTTCATTTCTCAAGCTTCTGTTAGAGATTTCACAGGTGACCCTATCAAGAGGGAGAATAGAGCAACTAAAAGCAAATAAAATCCCTCTCTGCAAATAAAGCAGACTAGATCTTTCAGTTAACATAAGCTATAAGGCGTTGTCTATCCTTCAGGGTTACCACATGAGGCCTGATCATTGTACAGGGGAAAAATGCTCACCACAGAGTGTGTTAGGCCCTCTGTTATGAACTCATACAATTTGGGATCTCATTACTCATTTCTTGGGAGATTTCTTGGGAAATAAATCACCCAAATGGAAAGGTCAGTAATTGACCTCTGCATCTTGGACTAAGGCAGAGAAATCAGAAACTCACATATTTCTTTTACTACTCTGGTGAATCTGGAACTGCATTTCTTGATCTATTTTCAGAGCAACCCTTGAGTGCCTTACAGGAATGTGCGTGTGTGTGTGATGTAGAAGTCAGAGAACATGCTCCCATTCAGGAGTTTAGGCATGGTGCCAATATCATATCCTATGTAACCCTGTTGAAATTTCCTGAAATTCCGCAAATCTTGTTCACACTGTGAGGTACAATAATCTCCTTAGGGTTTCCATTGAAGCTGGTGGAAGCACAATATACAAAATTAACAGTAGGTTGTGGATCTAGGGATTCCCTTCTCTTTCCATTAAAAATCCTGATGTAAAAATCTCTATCGGGGCAGCTAGATGGCGCAGTGGCTAGAGCACCGGCCCTGAAGTCAGGAGGACCTGAGTACAAATCTGGCTTCAGACTAAACGCATGACACTTACTAGCTGTGTGACCCTGGGCAAGTCACTTAACCCCAATTCCCTAAAAAAAAAATCTCCATCTCTTCTGATTCACTCTTCCTCACTTGCCTGCTTCCTTCCCTGGAATTAAGCTAATTTTGTTCTGTGTCTCTTTTCTGCCCATCTTTTTTCTGGCTGTAGGCATCATCTGAACTCTTATCATGTTTCCAGAGCAAAATAACCTTCCATTTCACTCAAGATCTCTCCTTGTTAAGCATCCTTTATTCTAGAGCCCTTCAAAGCCTTCTCAGCCTTGGGGCACAGAAATACTACCTGTGTGAACTTGGGGACACCAGTAAACCTCTCCAAGGCCTCCATCTTTTAATATTCAAAACAAGGAGGCTAACCTAGGTGACTTATAAGGTGCTATCCAACTCTAAATAGTGAAAACAGTGAAAACTTCCCTGTCAGCTCAGGCTATCCAGACCTCTTAGGCTGCTTTAATTTATTATAGGATTACACAGTAGATCTAGAACTTCATCTAGAACTTGAAGGAACCTCAAAGGCATCTAGTCCAACTCCTTTATTTTACAGACGAGTAAACAGAGGTCTGGGTACTCCAAGTCACATAAGTAATGTCACAGGCAGGATTGGAGCTAAGGTTCTCTGACTCCAAAGTCACTGCTCTGAATGGACGCTTAGCCATGGAATCCTCAGTTGGACCATCTATTGGGCAACTCTTAGGTGTACTTGGAGGTCAATTTCTGCTTTTTTTGTGAGTGGATAAAAATAAGGAGCTCACCTAATACTAAGCATAATTTAGCAGCTTCCTTGTTCCATCTCCAGGCCTTATGAGAAAATATAGAAATAAAAGGGGAGGAGATGAAAAGAAAGGCCAAAACAAAATTAGAAAAGGAAGGAAAGTTGAAATATAAAAAGAGAACAATCTATACTTATCTGTCTAGTCTTCTTAGAGAATGAGGGTAGGGCCTTTAAGTAATCTATATAGACATTGTGCCTAGCAAAATGCCAAGAGTATCAATAAATATTTATGGATGATGATAATCATCAAAATGGAGTTAAACTGGGAGAAGAATATTCCCTAAACCTTAGGAAAGGCTCCATCATCTGTTCACCAAGCAGAAGTGTCATTAGGAGCACAGAGAAGCCGGCTATAAATAAAACCTCTTGTGGAAGATTTTCTAAGGGGTTGAACATAGTCAGCCTGAACCACATGAAATATCTTAATGGAAACCAGTCTGTGAGTGAGAGGTCTAGGGGAGAGAATGTGGAATACACCAAGAGAAAGTTACCTATATCATTCATCATCATCATCATCATCATCTAAAGAGCAGTAACATATGAAAACCTACTACATACAGATAGCAAGGAAGGGACTATATAATGCACAGAGAAGTACCTGGCTAAAGCTCTTAAATAATTAGAGTATGAATTTATTTCCAGTGCAATAGATATAATTTAGAAATTAGAAGAGTCCAGATCATTGGGACACATTTCAAAGAGAGGTCTCAATGAGCAATCTTAACAATCTGACTTGTCTTACAAGCTCTATTTAATTCGACCTATAATTAGTTTTTGCTTGGGCTGAACTATAACTAGTTATTTCTGTACCTGGGACAAGTGGGAATGGGGTAGGCTTACCTGGACTACAGCCCCTAAAGGAAGGAAATTACAAGATTTCTAAGCTGCTGAAATGAGAGGAAGGGCAAGAAACTACAACCTCGGGAGTGGGGTCATGAAAGAGGGTAGGGAAACATGTCATGAGATGGATGGTGCCATAGGTATCCTCTAAATTTCTCACCTTGGGACAAAGCTTTAGTCACTGTGCCTTAGTTATAGCTCTGTGCTTGGGTCTACAAAAGAATAATGTCCCAGTTTCCTTGCCTTTTCTCTTCATAGCTAAAACCTCAAAACATAAGGATAAGGCTATTGGGGGAGTCATAAATTTCTTCTGTTTTTTCTAGTAAATGAGATATTCCAAATGAAAAGATTTTTACAATGTAATTTCCTTTCTACCTTTCCTGCTTCTTCATCGTTTTTCTGTGCTTTACTCAGATTGCACCAGCCACTGATTTGGAATAGCTTTACGGAGGCTAACTTTCAGTTTTCAACTTCTGGTCTTTCTGTATTTCCACTGTTTGCAGAGTATGACTAGCCTACCTTGGACAATTATTAGTGGAATATAAATCTGTCATTTTTGAAGAAAAAAAATCAAGGCCACACTTTTGTGTGTGTGTGTGTGTTAACCCTTTAGTCCCTATTATTTTAAGCAAAACTGAGCATTGGGCCCAAACTGGGAATCATGACAATGTCTCTGCAAGGCCTTGATTCACATTCAAGCCAGAGAAGAAGCAAGGTTTGGGGAGACATATGCGATCACTTAAATACTGTACACATTGGGGATCATTACAAAGAAGAAAAAAGTCAAAAGTAAACAACAAAGCCACTTGAAGTCAAAGTCTTTACACGATTTAGTGTGACCTCTTCCCTAGTGCAAAAGTCTGTGCCTTAAGGCCTTGAGGGAGAGGATGCTTTACAAATGGGATGGCTGTTTTATAGGTGTCTCCTGTTCTGGAGCTTGTCAATGAGTGAAGTCCACCGTTCCCAGAAGTCATCCAAATCTGGTTTTCTGTTTTCAGTTAAGCAAAGAATAAGCACTGGATGAGTTTTCCACGGATGAGCTGGTTGTTTCTGGGGTCGACACGTTGTATGTTCCTGTAAGACAAAGTAAACCAACAGGTAGAAGCTGTACTTCAGGTGGAAAGTAGATGCTTCCTATTTTGCCCACCAGAGGAAGCTGTGCTCTAATGGCGGGGTAAACTCTAACATGCCTTAAAATAAATTGGAGGGTCTGGATCTTTCTCCCAATTATCAGAATACTCTAGACTAGAGCTACATTTATTGCTCTCAAGCATGCATGGCAGCAGGAAAGCCCCGACTACATTTCATGCCACACTGTCAGCCAAAGAGCAGCCAGATCTCTACAAAGCTCTGAGTGTAGCTAGCTACCCCCACAAGCTTGATCCAAAGCCACTACATGCACAGGACAGGAGGGGCTGGAGTTCCCATGCTTGCAGTAAGTGGCAGGCTTGGTCAGAGCTACCCCTTTTCTCCTTTTGGTTTCTGTGACCTGGACAAATAGCAAGGAAGGGACTAGAGGGTGAGAGGCAAAGAGTGGAAAGAACAGAAGGGAGGAGAGGAGGAAAAAAGGAACATCAAGGTAAGGCTGGGAAAGAAGTAGAAGTGTGAAGGAGGAATTCAGAAGAAGAAGTGCTAGGGGATAGTGAGGTGGTAGAATGGGAGCTGGAGTCGAGTGCAGGGACACACATGTATGTGTTTGGGGAGGGGGGTCCCAACCCTACCATCAAAATCATGGACTGCAACAGCCAACAAGGCTTCCATCACTGCATGGGGGGGCCTTTGTGACTGCTGACAACATAAACCAAAATGATAGTCATTACTGAACACCAAAGAACACTAAAACTCCAGTGGAATAAATGATGGAAGAGAGGTCTATGCAGATATCCAGGGAGTGTCAGGCAGTCATTGGGCATTCGAAATTTCTATTAATTCTGTCAGCTTCCTGGCTTGTCTTCTTGACTACAGTCATGTCCATAAATTCAACTTTCAAAACTAGATTTAATCTGGATAATTCTAATAAAGGCTTGCATAGGATTTTATTGTTTTCTTTTCTTTTCTTTTCTTTCTTTTTTTTCCCCCAGGCAATTAGAGTTAAGTGACTTGCCCGGGGTCACACAGCTAGTAAGTGTCTGAGGCTGGATTTGAAGCCAGGTCCTCCTGACTACACTTCAGGGCCCATGCTTTATTCATGGTGCCACCTAGCTGACCTTATGTTTTCTTTTTGGTTTAAATTATATGGATAATTGCAACTGTGCAGCCCTGACTTACAGAGTTCCTTGAATTTCACTTTTTCCCTGAACTTCATTTTAAATATCAAATAGATCAATTTACTCATTTTGTTTTCCTTGTTTCCAGTGATTGTACTTACTCATATCAATGACTGTCTTGATATTGGCAGTGTTTTATTGGCAACATCTTTAGAGGGTTTAATCATTTCTATTTCAGCCTGTGAGGGTGGTTTATTTCCAAAGTAGAAGGTTGGTTGCCCTTTTTTTTTTAACAAATAATCCACCAAAAATGTAGAAAACATTCTACCCTCTAGAAGTATTTGTCAATAAGAGGCTTTTCCACAGCTTGTTTTCAAACAAAACATCACAGCATGTTCTCTACTGGAAATTTTCTAGATTTGGGCATGTGCAGTATCTCATCAGATTTGAGGATGATGGGGGATACTAGTGACTTCTGAGGATGTTCTCCCTGCTGTCTTTTTTTTTTTTCAGGATAAAAGTGCTAAGCATTTATCTTGCCAGAATGTGTTCTGCATGCCATTATATTCTGTGCAATTCAGATTACTTTGTGCAGCTTGAAAAAGTTGAACTTTCAGACTTTCACATTTGTATCCAAACTGCAAGTCTGGACAGAAATATGGAGCCCAGATGGATAAATTTAAGTTTTTCAGAGCTGTAGCCCCAAACCCCTCCAAATACCTGTGAAAAATGACTCTAAACAAATTCTAGAGCAGCAGAGTTGTAGAATCAGATCCTCTTGAGGCAATCATCTAAGTGAGCTCAAAGCAGATGGCACTGAGGCTCACAAAGGTGACTTTCACATTAATATATAATACAGAGTGCAAAAGTGCCTATTGATTTATGAATAGAATCACTTGGGAGGGAACAATTTGTGTGTATGTGTGTGTGTTTATATGTGTGTGTGTGGCTGTGACACTAAAGTCATAGATTTCTTAAATCATATCTAGAATCCCAAGACATTATTTTATGCCCACAAGGCATAGGAGTTGCCACATTGTAAATAATTGCCTGCTAAAATTTCCCTTCACCTTAAGTCAGATTTTTTTTTAAGTAGACATTTATCTGAATTTATTTAAAATGAGCACCCTGTCCCTTGCCCCTGGTCAAATAGTCATTACTCTTTACATATAGGTCCTAAAAGTGTCAAGGAAGTTATCACAGGACAAGGAACTCATCCGCTTAACTAACTTGAGAGTGCCTAGAAGTCACTGCATACCTGTTTTACCAAACAAATTGTTAAATCTTCTCGATATTGGAGAACTCATGGAAAAAACAGGAGTGGATGAAGCCAGAGATGTCGACTAGAAGGCAGAAAAAAGCATCATTTAGAAGCACTGCAATTTTGTTTAGGGCATGAAACTAGTAAGGCCACGATCCAGAGCTGAATTTTGATGGATTAGCTTTTGTCTCTTCAATGACCACGGCTGCATCCTTAGCCCCAACCACCAATCAAACAAATGTACACTTAGTCACAAGGGGGATCAGCAGAGAAAATGTGGATAGGTATACATTTCAATTTTTTTTCAAAGTGTAGCATCAGATACCAGGTATCCATCATGGGACACTAGAGAAATAATTCTTATTAATAAAGGCCACCAGGAATCTCTTTATGTATGGTTAGCACATTACATTGATGTGTAATAAGTTTATTTTTTTCCAGAAAGAACTATAGCTATTAGGAGTCAAATTATTTCTTTAGGTCTTAGATTTCCCTAGTACCTTAATTTCTTAATTTTGACTAAATTATTTAATTTTATTTGAAATTCAATTTAATATTAATTGAAATTAAAAAATCATTGCCTTAGGTTGTCCACATTCATGATATCCCAGTTTAAGGATCTCCTGACTTCATACTAATTAAAATTCAGTGTCTGTGCTTACAGAGGCCAAAGAAATGGGGGGGGGGGAGAGGCTGAAACAATTTCCTTGATAACTGATTTCAGTATAAGTTCCTCAAGGGCAGACACTGTTTCATTTTGGTTTTCTATCGCTAGCGCCTAGCTCTAGTGCATCTAGAATTTAGTAGGTGCTTAATAAAAAGAATGTTAATTGAAAAGACTGGTTTGAGGGATCCTATATTATCTGTTTCCATGGATCAAAGCCATTGCTTAGCTCTCTACTTGGCCGCTTATTACATGGGGGCTACCCGTGAAAAGCAAAGAAAAATCTCCAGAAAGAAAGAATATACCTTTGTGTGCTGTGAAGACCATCTGGATAGGGAGAATTTATGCAGCAGAGCTTCCTGTACCTGTATTGTTTGAAAGAAGTCATCAGTGAATCGGTTAAGCACATTACAGGATATCCTAAATTCAGGGATTTAATTGCTAGAGCACTTACCTTCTTGTCCCAGAGGCATCCAAACAACAAAATGAATAATCCCTAGGGGAAAAAAAAGATTTGACAAATAAGTTTGCTTCTTCTCAGTTGTAAGGGGATAACAGTCACAGTACCTCTCAATAGAAGGCACTGTACTTTCTACTAACTGGTAGGTACACTTGCATTGTGCTGCTTTTTTTCAAAGCCTGGAATCAGAGAAAGAATGTAATGAATTATGATACAAGATGCAGATAGATAGACATAGCTGTTTGTCTGACCAGCTGTTCGTCTGTCTGGCTGTCTATCTATCTATCTATCTGTCTGTCTATCTATCTATCTATACATATAGAATCTATATAAAGAATAGAATCGATCAACAGAGTTCAAATACTGCTTGTAACTTGCACTGGTTGTGTGGTTCTGGAAAAGTCACATAACCTTTAGACGTTCTGGATAGCTTCTGAAAATCTTTCTCAGACTATCATTTACAGAGAAGATGCCACCCAGTTCTAGTGCAAGGAATTTCCTTATCTGGGTGACTCCTTATTCCAATGAAATCTCAGAACCAGTCCCTATTTCTAGGATTGAAGAGTTAGAGCTAGAAGAAAACTCAAAGACCATGAAAATCAAACTTCTTCATTTTATAGATGAAGAAACAGGCCAAGAGGCTAAGTGACTAGACCAAGCACACAGGGAGTAAATGGTAGAGTCAGAATTTGAACTCGTGTCCTCAGACTCCAAATTCAGTGTCCCACGCACAATGCCTGTTAAAAGGGAAATAATGGCATTCATGGATTTTCTAAATCCTTGTGATAATCAACCACTTTGTAGGAGTGGTCAACTAAATGAGTCTCTAAAAAAGATGACACTGGTAAGTGAAGAGAACATTTTTATTTTTAAACAAGGATAAATTCAACTAAGCAATGTTTTCTTCAACCTCCTTCAACCACTCACTTCCACACCAGCCCCATCCCTCTGGTGAACTATGTTCCTGTTGGTTAATCTGTCCAATTCTTTTATTATCACTCAAATGGTTGGGAAGTGAGCCTGGGTCTGTTTAAGTGATGAGAATTGCTCAGATACAAGGGTATACCAAAGAATCGTGTGACAGAACATGCAATGAACTTTTACATGTGTGTATGTGTGTGTTCAGCTGAATTAAAGACATTGTTGCTTTGGAGTTTGGTCCTGAAGCTGGGGTGACCATAACTGGTGACAAATCTAGGGTTTGGCCTTGTGGCAGCTTTTCTAGTGCCATAGCCCTGGGCATCCTCCTGATGGGACCATTCACCTCCAGGTTCCATGGTCCTGTTGCATTCCATGGCTTTTAGGGGGGTAGGGATGGCTTGGTATCTTCAACAAGAAGGGGGCTAAATGTGGCTTAATTGGTGGAGTGCTGGACTTGGAATCACTGGGGCCTGGATTCAAGTCTTGACTTTGACACTTACTAGTTACATGATTATGGGTAAATCACTTAGCATCTGAGCTTCAGTTTCTTTATCTGTAAATTGGGGATAATAATAACTGATAATTATGCAGAGTTCAAGTTTGCCAAATGATGAGTGTGTATACATAAGCGTATATATACAAATGTATATGTACACTATATACACATTTGTTATCTTATTTAAGCTGTAAAGTTTAAATTCCTCACAGCCCTGTGAGGTAATACTATAGGCATTATTATCCCCATTTTAAAGATGAGGAAACTGAGACACAGAGAAGTTAAACGACTTGCATAATATTGCTTAGCTGGTATGTGTCAGAGGCAGGCCAAATAATGCAGTGTGGTATACTGGGTAGTATACTAGACTTAAAAGTCAGGAAGGCCTAGGTTCAAAACTTTCTTCTTATATTTTTAGCCATGTGACCTTGGACCAACCATTTCTTTAGAGGTCAAATGAGATAAGGTGTGGAAAACGCTTTATAAATATGAAAATGAGATGTAAACAAATATGTACTTATATGTATATATGTTTGTATATGTGTATATATATATATATATGTATATGTGTGAATATGTATGTATAATATATGTATAAATATCTGTTTTTAATCATGAAATTGACCTAGGTGGTATTTGTAATTACATTGGCAAAGTAGGTTCCCAGATAAGAGAAAGCATTTTTCCTTTTCTATAATATTAATAGGAAGGAAACTTTCTATTGAGCATGAATCTGCACTCTTAGAAGGAATTCTTCTGAGCTTCCTGCATTTGGGGCAGACAGCTTCCCTGGACCAAACTCCTTCCCAATTTCCATTCTTGCTTTTGATTCTGTCATTAATGAATCGCAATGGAATGGAGAAAAGAAAGGCCTGTGCTCAAAGTAGGCCTTGGTCACTGACTAGCTATATTACCTAGGAGTATAATTTCTCTGAGCATCAGTTTTCTCATCTGTGAACTAGGGATGATAATTGTCTCTACTCAAAGGGCTATCGTGAGGGTCAAGTATGTAAAACACTCTGTAAACTTTAAAACACTACATAAATATCTGTCATTATTAACAATCACAATGTCTTATAATAAAGTAATAACTTACAACAGTAATAAGTGGTAACACCTCCTCCCACCCCTCAGCCCCTTTCACCGAAGCACTTACTTGGAAGGCATTCAGTAGGGTGAATACAATGTGGAACACAGCACTGCTTCCCTGGAACACGGTGGCCAGTCCAAACCCCCAGGTGAGTCCTAGGAGGGGAGTGAGGACACCAATACTCTTGCTGATCTGAAACAGACTGTTCTTTTCCTGAATGCTTGGCTTGTCTCCAATGGAGGGCCTCAGGATTTTGGTGATGACCACAAACGTTATGGTCACATTTATGACCACAATGATCAGCGCAGGAATCACAAAAGCCAGGAGGGCCTTGGTGTCATCCCAGTTGAGCCAGCAGGCATTTTTCCTCATGTACACATCCTTTGGCTGGGTGACCCCCACCGTGATGATGGAGATGACCAGCGGGCAGCCATAGCCCAGGGAGAAGGCAATCGCCTTCTGGATAGACTTGCTTGTGTCATGGAGGATGAAGACCAGGCGGTAGAAAAGCATGAGACCCAGGGTCAACATCCAGAAGAAGACACTGAGGTAAAAGAAGTGGATGAAGAAGGTGGCAGCCACACAAGCTGTTTCACTGAATAGGTAGTGCTGGTCATGAATGGCAGCAGATACAATGAACCAGGAGTCAGCAATCAGGAGGGAGGCCGCAATGTTTACGATACAAACATGGCGCATGTAAGAGGTGCGGTTTTTGGTCACTGATTTCCAGACAAAAGCTTCAACAACGAGACAGGCTGCTAGACTCAAGATGGAAAAGCCTAGGCCGATATAAGAAATAATATCCAGCAGTATTTTTAGGAGGGAGTTGGGGTCAGGAGCATCAGGGGACATTAGGATGGAAAATGAGGTTAAATGATCACAGGTGCAGAAGACACTGTCCTCTTTCATTTGCTCAACAAAACACCCACTGTCGTCCCATCCCCCCGTGCGGTTGGAGAGGTGATAGTTCCAGAAGACACACTGGGGTGCCACCAATGACAGGTCATTTTTCTTGAACTTCATTGAAATCTTGAATTGTTTTGTCACACCGTGGCTCACGGTGGTTGTCATCACCAAACCATTCACGAATTTCCTGTCCTGGACACTCTGGGGCAGGATAGCTTTTAGAGTTGGGTATGCCAGTGTGATGATGGATGAATTTGGCTCCAGGCTTTCTATCTGATGCCTGTCAATGACTACCTGGCCCCAGAGATTGGAATCGGGAAAGAGAAAGTGCTGGTCATAGTTGCTCATGTGTGTGGCTGTAGTCATGAGGCCCTTCATTTGCACGTTGGGGTGCACAATGAAAGGAGCGACACTGACTGTCTCGTGCAGCGCTCTGGAGAATCTCTCCACAGACTCCAGCAGCCGAGAGCTCTCATTGGCCTGCTGCTGATACAGAACTTGCCAGGTGCTCAGCATGGACTTGTCAAGAATGACATTGATGGTAGAGAGCACATGCTGTAAGAGAGATAGCCCAACACAATAGAATGTAAGCTCCTTAAAGTCAGACATTGTTTAGTTTTTGAATTAGTATCCTTAATGTCCAGTACAGTGCATAGGTCCTCAACAAATACTTCAATTCAAATGAATACAGTTAGGAAGAAACAGAACATTATACTAGAACCAGAGTTTGTAACTTTTTTGTTTATCCTGGACACCTTTGGAAACCTTTGGACCCCTTCTCAGAATGATGCTTTGAAATGCAAAATAAAAGTTATAAGATTACATAGAAAATCAATTATATTTGAATAAAGATTTAATTTTTTTTCCATTGTGAGCTCATAGACACCCTGAAATCTATCCACAGAGTTTTGGAGGGTCCATGGACACCAGGTTAAGACAAATTTGCCAATTTTGTTAATGTCAAATTTTGAGTCAATAATGGGGGAGAAAAAGAAAATGAAGGTAGAATAAATAATGTAGAATTAGAAGATTAGAGCTAAAACGGCCCACCATGAGCAGCAGGACTGGCTGGCAAAGGCCCTGGATAACTATTCCTCTCCTCTCCTCTTAGGTCTGTTAAGTTCTCTTCACCTCAGATACGAGGAGAAGAAGAAAACCAGATTGCTCCAGTGCTGCCACTTGCTCCCCTGATCATGACCTCTGCCCTTTTCCCTGTGATATTCAAACATAACACTTTGTCTTTGCAAAGCCCTTATCACTCACTGCAAGTACCTAAGAGCCTCAACATCTTTGCATAGACTGTCTTGCCACGACTGACTACTTGCTTGCCTCAATTCCACATCATAGTAGGTGGCACAATGGTTAGAGGATTGGACTTGGGAGTCAGAAAAACTAGAGTTCAAATCCTGCCTCAGACAATTATCATCTGTGTGCCCCTGGGCAAGTCAATTTCTTTGTGCCTCAGTTTCTTCACTTGTAAAATGGGGAGAATACTTCCTAAGGTTGTTGTGAAAAACAAATGAGATAATAATTGTAAAGCACTTAGCATACTTTGTTGTTCTGTCATTTCACTTGTGTCTGACTTTATGAACCCATTCAGGGTTTCCTTGGTAAAGATACTGGAGCGATGGGTCATTCCTTTTCCAGCTCATTTTACAGGTGAGGAAACTGAGGCAAACAGGGTTAAGTGACTTGTCTAGGGTCACACAGCTATTAACTATTTGAGGCCAGATCTGAACTCAGGAAGATGAGTCTTCCTGACTCCAGGCCTGGCACTCTATCTATCTAGCTTATATGCCTGGCATATAACAGATGCTATATAAATATTGGTTGTGAATTATTATATTATTAATTATTAAATAATAAATATGAATTATTATAATTATTACCTTCCTGAGTTGATATGAGGATCAAATGAGATGATAACAATAAAGTGCTTTAAAATTTTAAATAATTATGTAAATTCTATTATTATTATTATTATTATTATTATTATTATTATCTTAGAATCCTTAGCTTCTTTCAAAGCTCAGCCCTGGTATCCTCCTCCTATGGAAAACCTGCCCTGACTCTTAGACATTAGCACTCTCACTAATCTCAAATTATCTTCTATTTACTTCTCTGTTTCTATGTTGTATTCTCCAGTTAAAAGGAAGCTGTCTTGGGAACAGAAAATTTTTGTTTGCTTATCTTTGTAGCCATCTACAGTATCTAACATGGTGTAAAGCATATAGCAGAGGCTTAACAAATGGTTACTGAATTAAAATGACTCATAGAAGCTTTTCATTCAATATGGCCTGTGTTTTTGGGAAGTGGTCATGCTTCTTACTATTTTCTGATACAGAAATGGGCAGGTGCCAAAGTGAATTTGAGAAAAGTACCAGAAGTCCAAAAGACTTGGAACACTAGAGCTGCAATTGGCAGTCCATGCATTGGATTTGACCAACGTTACCTGTAGCATGACCTTGACAATGACAAATTGACCAAGAAACTGACCTAGCACAGGACTGTCCCTTGGTGGTATCTCCAGAGAAGATTTGTTACAGAAATGAAAAAAAAAAAGATGCTGAGTTAATCATAGAATCACAAATGAAGAGCTAGAAAGGATACCAGACATCATCTGTTCCAACTTCCTTTCTTTACAGATGAAGACACTGAAGCACATGGAATAGAATGACTTTTCCAAGACCTCACTGGTGATAAGCAGCACAGATGGGATTTGAACCCAGGAGCCTGGAGTTCATTTCTCTGTACCACACTGCTTCCTAATCGATGGGAGTATGTCATATGGATTGAAGACATGAAATCCAAACAAAGCTCTTAAAGTTTGGGAGTATAACTTACTGTCATCATATCCATATTCACTTGGGTTGGGACTGTGGACAGCAATTCCAGGATGGTAATGATGGCTTTCAGGTTTCCAGGTGATGATTTGATCTCATTTTGCACCTTCCCAGTACTACTGGACAGATTCTGAAGGTATGGTAACAACTTCTCTTCTTGTTCAGGGCCCATAACCAGAGTCTATGTGAGAAAAGTCACCAGTTAGTGAACAAGTTGTATTTCTTCACAAAGCTTCTCAAATGTAGCTACTAAGCGTCTGACATCGGATTTGAACTCGGGTCTCCCTGACTCCAGGCCCAGCATTCTATCTACTGTGTCACCTAGCTGTCCATAATCGGTTAGGTAGTGTGTTTTTAGGCTGGAAAGGCAGATTGAGAATAGTTCATCAAGGGCCGTAAATCTCAGAGAACTTTATATTTGATCCTAACAGTAACAGAGAGCCATTTATCAGGAAGAAGTCCCATGACTACACCTGTGTTTTGGGAAAATTTTCTTTGTTAGCTGTGTGGAAGATGGATTAGAGAGGAGAAAGACTTGTGACAGAGAGTTCAGTTAGGAGAAGGCTATAATAGTCTGAGCGAGAAAAGTCAAGGGCCCAAACTAGGGTAACAAATGTGTACATGGGAGGAAGTAGACAGGTACAGCAGTAACAACCTGTAAATGGTAGCAGACCAATGTTGGAGTCAGGAATTAAATTAAATTAAACTAATTAATTAAATTTAATTTAATTAAGGTGGATTTAAATCCCACAGACATATTTTTTGTCTGATCCTATGCAAGTCAATTAATCTAAGTGGCACAGTGAACAAAGCACTGGGCTTAGAGTCTAGAAGACTCATCTTCATGAGTTCAAATCCAGTCTCAGACACTTCCTAGCTGTGTGACTCTGGGCTAATCACTTAATCCTATTTTCCTCATTTTCCTCATCTGTCAAATGAGTTAGAGAAGGAAATGGCAAACCACTCCAGTATCTTTGCCAAGAAAACCCCAAATAGGGTCACTGTTGGACATGACTGAAATGACTGAACAACAACAAAACCCCAGAATATTTGAGAATGCTTTAAGTTGCAGAGTAGCTGCTGCTCTACATTGTTGGAAGGAGTTTCTTCATCGGGAGTTCCTTTTCCTATGGAATTAATACTGATGAAATTATAGCTCTGGACAAAATAAGTATAATATCTAGTGCTGATACAGTGCTTTGAGTTTTGCAAAGCACTTTATACACACACACACACACACACACACACACACACACACACACACACACATAAAGTCTCATTTGATCCTCACAAACAGCCCTGGAAGGCACTACCTATACCTATAATCCCTGTTTTACAGATGAGGAAACTGAGGCTCAGAGTTACTTTCTAGCAATCACACAGCTACTATATAACAGAGGTCAGATGCCAGCCCATGACTCTCTGCTTCCAAGTAGAGCATTCTTTTTACTACAAAAATTCAAGCTAACATGTCTGCCTAGGAATAATTTTATTAAGATTGTCTTGAGCTGTCTATATAGATGAATTCCGAGAGGTACTTTTTCTTTATTTTTCCCCAGAACTGGAAGAGGTAGTAGGTCTAGAGTACACTTGGTGATAAAAAGAAGCTTCCCTGGCAGAGGACTTATCTTTGGGGGCATATCAGGAATGAATTTGATTAGATTTGAAAGAAGAAGCATTGAGTTAATTGACATGAGGGATTTTATCCTATGGGATTTGTACATGGTGGAAAGGCCACATAAAGAGCCTGAGAAATATTTCAAGGTCACTCCACAAATGAGCCTCTCCTCTCCTAAGCCAGCCCTCTAACGGGTCACATTAATTTATATTAGGATTTTTTTCTTTTTGCATTTTAAATGTTATCTATCCTCCAGCTTTTTTAAAGGCAAAGTTTTTGAGCCTCATAAACTAAAAGATAATCCATTCTTCTGACTGCAGGATGAAAACAGAAAGAAAAGTCTCATATGCACCAAAATATTTATAGTAGCCTATTCTGTAATCATAAAGAATTGTAAACAAAGTAGACACCCATAGTCTGAGGAATGATTAATCACACTATGGCCTATGAATGCAATGGAAACGGCCGCACCACAATAAATGAGGATTACAGATATATTTGAGAAGACTTATATAAACTGATGCAAAGTGAAGTAAGACAAACCTGGAATATAATACATCATGGCTACCACAATGGAAGCCAAAAAACCTACACGAATAAAATGATGTTGTGTAGTTATAATAGTGAAGATTGATCACAGAAAGAGATAGAAAAGAAGTGCCTCCCTCCCTTCTTTGCAGGGGTGGGGAACTACATGGAGCACTGTATATACTATTGGAATTGGTGGATGTATTGGTTAATTTTGCTGAATGGCTTTTTCCTCTCTATGATTCTGGGTAGCAAAGGTAAAGACATATATTGGAAACTATAGGTGATATTGAAACAAAAATTATCAGTAAAAATTGAACAAAAAGAAGGATGGATCAGGCAGATTCTCTTCCCTCCAAGGAACTTTTGCCAAGGCTTCTCCAGATATAGTCAGAGAGTAACTATTATATTTTTATGTATATATATATATAATATTTTTAATATATAGTATATCATATACAATATCACATATCTAATATATCATATAATATAATATATAAAATATGGAAATCATATATACATACATGTGAATATTATATATGTCACAGTGGTATTATATATAATATGGGAATATTACATATACAATATGGGATTATCATATATAATTAATGTATAATATAATATAACATGATGACATAATTATAAATAATCATATATAATTATATAATTTGTGATTATATAACAAATAATTATATAATTATAAATAATAATTCTATATAATGCATATGACATGGGTATGTTGTGTGTGTGTGTGTGTGTGTGTGTGTGTGTGTGTGTGTATGTGTGTGTGTATGTTTTTACATTTGGGAATTACCTTTGTCATGCCAAGCAGATAATTGATTGGTGCAGAGATGCAATTGTTGTTCTTTACTTTCCATTTGGAGTCTTCGCATATGTAAGTGATGATTCCACCCACTCCATGGTCCAACTTGTTATGGATGTTTGAAAACTGGCACAATTTGTGAATCATTTTCCCTGGCTTGCCATTGCCTATGATGGGATCTTGGCATGTGATATTCTCCTCTGTAGGGGAAAGAAAATGAAGTCATGGGAAAAAAGGAGTAGACACTGGAATGGTCTTTGGTAAAGTAGTAATATTTGTCAGTTCATTTCAATTCCGTTCAATAAGAATTTATTAAACTCCTACTACATGGAAGGCAATGTAGGAGGCACTGCAAATATCTTCTCATCTCTCCCTCTTAGAATCTTCATCTTTCTTCAAGCTGCAATCTATTTTAAGAGTGCTGGTCCTGAAGTCAGGAAGACTCATCTTCCTGGTTCAAATCCTTACTAGCTGTGTGACTCCGGAGAAGTCACTTAGCCCTGTTTGTCTCAGTTTCCTCAGCTGTAAAATGAGTTGGAGAAGGAAATGCAAACCACTCCAGTATCTTTGCCAGGAAAGCCCTGGCAAATGGGGGAGTTGGACACAGCTGAAATGACTGAAAAACAACAACAACAAGAAATGTGTAAGACACTGTGCTGGGCAGTAGGGTTTCATCACTGGAATCTTGGTCTGAGTACTCCTTTGGCCCTCCTTCTGTTCTTGTCAGAGAGTGGAGTCAGGACCAAGAGTGCACTCAGAGCTTGCTATGTCAGGCCTAAGTGGTTTTCCTAGTGCTGGACGACTGCATGGGTGGAAACAGTCCCAAAGCTCTCGTAGAAACAAGAAGGGTAGCTGGATGGTACAGTGAATAGAGTTCTAGGTCTGGAGTCAGGAATACCCAAGTTCAAATTCAACTTCAGAAATTTGCTAGCCCTGTGATCCTGGGCAAGTCACTTAACTTATGTCTGCCTCAGTTCCCTCAACTATAAAATGAGGATCATAATAACAGCTACCTCCCAGGGTTGTTGTGAGGATCAAACGAGATAATATTTATAAGACATTGGCAAACCTTAAAGTGCTATATGAATTTTAGCTATTATTAACTCTAAACATGGCCCTCATTACAAAGACAAAACCAAACCAAAACATAAATTGGCTCAGGTATATCATCTTATATGAATCTCTTCTGATCCCTATACTTGTTAATGCACTCTCTGTCTCTCTGTGTCTGTGTCTCTCTGTCTCTATCTCTCTCACTCTCCCTTTCCTACTCTACCTCTGTCTGTCTCTGTCTCGCTAGCTCTGTCTGTCACTGTTTCTCTCCTTTCTTCCCTCCCTCCCTTTCCATACCTCTGCTCTCTGTCTTCTCTCTCTCTCCTTGTTTTTGTCTCTCTGTTTTTCATTCTCTCTCTTTCCCTCGCTCCTAAAGTTATCCTATATTTCCTTGTCTGGGGGTTTGTTGTATTTCCAGAGGGATGTAAAAAGTTAGAAAATCAGCAGTTCTGCCCTTTGGATTGAAGTCCCAGCAGCATTACGGAAGTCACAAGATGTTGGGTCCAGGTGACGTGGCTGCAGTGTGGGAGAGGAACAAAATGGGCTCTTACCGGGAATGAGGTGAAGAGGGACCAGTGCACTCTGGACTGATTTGTTGACTGAGTTGACGAAGATACAAGATACCTGAACTGTTTCCGAGCACCAAGCAGTTGTGTTTGCCATTAAACTGTATTTATAGCAGGCTCGATTTTCTTGAGCTTCTTTTACTAAAGAAAAGGAGATTTACAGAGGTTCACAGTGCAGCCTTGAATATGGAAGGTGTTTAGTCCTCTTTAACAAGGGCCAGGTGGACGGGATTTGGCCAACCATCTATCTCTCTAACACAAAACCTTTGCTATAATGAGGCCATTCTCTTCACCATCCCAGGAATATGCTGATTATTGACTTCAAACCTTAACTTCTACTATCTCTCCTACCACAATGCTCTTCTCTGTCCTTTTAACTTAATTGAATCTCTTTTTTTTTTTTAAATTGGGATGGAGTTTTGGACCAATGATTTCATTGGTGATGGGAACTCCTGTTGCAGAAACTCCTTCTACAAAAGTGTATCAGCAGCTCATCAGGTATAGTGGAAAGAGTACTCACTCTAGAGTTAAAGGATCTGGGTTTGAATCCTGCTTCTGATGCCTTTGTAACCTTGGGCAAGTCACATAACATTCCTGGGCCTCAGTTTCCTCATCTGTAAAATGAGGGTGCCATTACAGCTCTAGAGCTATTACTCAAGAGTCAGAAAATTGCCTAGGACACTAAGAGATTAACAAACTTGTTTGTGATCATGCAGCTACTGTGTTTAAGAGATAGGTCTTAAACTTAGGTCTTGACTCCAAGCCTGGCCTGTTATTTATGGTGCCATATTTAAAGGGCCTGTTAATCCCTACCTTCTACTTGAGGCCTTTCTTGACTGCTCAGGCCCACACTGATATCCCTGACCTTTGAAGCCAAATAACATTTATTTTCTATATTATAGGCAGCTAGGTGGCAAAGCGGAAAAATTACTGGGCCTAGAGTCGGAAAGACCAAATTCAGATCCAGCCTCAGACACTTACTAGCTGTGTGACCCTGGGCAAGTCACTTAACCACTCTCTGTCTCTCCTCATCTGGAAAATGGGGACAACAACAACACCTAACTCCTGGGATTGCTGTGAGGACAAAATGAGATAATATTTGAAAATCACTTCACTTTTAATATTATAGTATCATTAATATAATTATTTATTACAATTGTATTATATATTATTATATTGCTACATTATACATTTTGTACAATTATAATTAATTATAATAATTTAATATTTAAAATTATAATTATTAGTTGATCGTAATTATTAGTTATATTATTATTAATATAATACTTATTCACTTATAGATTTGTATTATTTCTTAACTATTCCATACATACACATCTTGTTCCCCAAACAGATTTTAAACTTTGAATCTCAAGCTTCTTTATATGCTCTTTCATCAAATGAGGAGACACAAAAGCCACTAGAAAGTGAGGATTGTTTCATTCTTTGCCTTTGCATCCCAAGCATCCAGCACGGTCTGGCACATAGCAAGTGCTAAATCAATGCTTGTTGATTGAATGGGAAATGCATAGTAATTGTTTTATAAATACTTAGATCTGAGAGACTTTTCCATTAGGAATTTTTAGAAATATGAGATTTTAGAACTTACAGGACCAGGGAGATTATCCAGCCCAACCCTTATCTTTTTATACATTGACCTAACTTGATTCTTGGGTTAGAAACTTTGCAGGGGAATTGCACTATGCCCCACAAGCTTCCAACAGGACAAAGATTTGTGTAAAGATGAGATAGAGGGATGCAGAAACAACCATCAGTGAAACGGATACGCTGGCCTTCCTTGACTCTAAGTATGTAGCAAAATACAGTGGCAGCCAAGGATTATTGAATCTGTTGTTGTTACTCTTTTTGCCCACCTTCCTTGGCATCTTGTCATCATCTTTGTGTCTTGCCTATATCCCCATGCATGAAGCAGCATGATCAGATGATGTAGTAGTTGCTCTTACCAGCGGGAAAGGACAAGCCATTAATTTGGAAAGTTACTCTGTAGTCTACAGCCTCATTTATGCAGCACTGTAAGTGACAGACGCCCCCACAGGGAACATCAGCTTCCAAGGGATCAAGCAGGATGTCATGCTTCAGCGGCAATGGATAAACGGTAACGTCCTTTGTGGCTATGCTGTAGGAGCTCTTATACCTAAATATGCAGTGATAAACACCTGGATGGAAGGAAGCAGAGAGAGGCTAGTAAAAAAATTGACTCAATCATTCTTAGGGTGGTGTTATTTCACAATGTCTGTCATCATTGTTGATCATATCCCACTGGAAAAATTTAGGAGTAAAGATACATGTGCATTGTACAGTTATCCCTGTCACAACACAACCTTCCCTATTGCAGTTTTGATATATCGTGGGTCCGCATAAGAAATTAAATCAGAATTTTGGAGGAGTTCTGCAGAAGCTGTAGAAAACATGTGAAGGCCAGTAGACAACTCAGAAAAAGTTCAGAAACTCAGAAATGCATAAAATATATGTATAATATTATATAATATCAACCCAAATTTTATAATAATGTACTGTAAACTCTATGAAAGAAAAAAGAAAAAAACTTCAGACTTCTTCTCTGGTACAAAGGGTGGGCCAAAAAATTTCATGAGGATTTTCCAGATCGTGGGAGTGCTGCTTCCTTAACCCCAGCAATACGGAAAGAATAACTGTACTATGATGATAATATGACAAGTGAAATTTACATAACAACTTAAAGTTTACAAATGACTTTACTTATACATGATGTCCCAAGAGACTTAGTGAAGTTTTAAACTATGGAAATTTAAAGCTTCCATAATCCACAGCTTAAAACTCCACTAAGACCTTTGAGACATCATGCACTTCCTCATTTGAACCCTGAATCAACAGTGTGAAGTAAGTACTTCAAATATCATATTCCTATTTTACAGATGATGGAAACAGACTCTGAAAGGTTAAATGACTTTTCCATGTCCATATAGCTAGTAAGTCCGAGGTGAGATTTGAACATAAGTGTCTCCTGACCCCAAGTCCAGCACTTTGTTTCTAATTATAATGATAATAATAATAAAAATAACTCTAATTTTAATTATAATATCATGACAAGCTGGTAAAAAATAATCAGAAATGTTACAGGAATAAATAAACATCACAGAGCAAGAGTAAATGCTGATACCAGGTATAAGTTTTTGGAATCATCAAATATAATTGAAAGTAGCTTACTTGGGAACACAACCTATAGAACTACAAAGATCTAAGAATAGAATCAAAAGGCCCCCCATGGGAGTGGTCTACATGAATTTGGTTAACATTATGTTGATGAAGGAACATTGAAAAAGTGTCTGAGTCATGCAGACTGGTTTGCAGGAATAGTGGGGTTTTATAATAAATGTAGTTTCATTACCACCGGAGACTATAGAAGGGTAATCTTTAATGAATTTGGATTTAGTGATCAATGTAGGTTAAGTAAGGAGATGGTAGAAATTGCGTAGCATATCACTGAGGACTCTAAAATTTAGCACCTATCAAAATATCTAGCAAGACACGACCTGATGGCTAAAATAATACATCAGATGCTCATTTTCCTTCATTCACTAACTGACCACAGTTCCCTGTACTATGAAGAAAGACCTTAAAATATTCTAGAGAGTTCAACTAACACTGGGACTAGATTATTATCATGCATTGAACTGTTGTCCACAATTGCCTGCATTTCTCTTGAGAGAAACAGAAAGGATAAGGGTTCTAAATTCTGTCTGATTCTGAATGAGAACCGAATTCATTGACTGGCTTGGTACTATAGGACCAAGAAGTGCTCCCACCCAATGGAAATACGAATCATCCACAGCTTCTGCTCTGGTTGCTTAAATTTTGGCTTATGTACTAAAATAATAAAATCACATCTAACTGAAAAAAATTATTAAAAGCTGAAGTACAACATTTTAATAAACAGCACCATCCCAAATACTCAGAACTTCCAAGCTACATAGAACACAAAAATGTTCGATGCACGTAGACCTGACTGAGGAGACTAAAATTGTGTAGGAACTTGACAGGATACATTCCATCTCTTTTGTCCTATCTGCAAATAGATTAAGACCAAGGATGTTTTCAGGGGGCCTACAGAGGATGAATTTACATCCTAATGTTTTTTTAACTACAACCACCTGCGCAATAGTCTACAGAACACTGAATATATAGGAATAACATCAGGATAGTGACTAGACCTTGGACTGTTTTTATCTGAAACTCATTGAGAAAGCTAGGTGGCACAGGGCAGCATGGTGGTGCAGTGTCTAGAGAGCCAGGCTTGGAGTCAGGAAGACCTGAGTTCAAATCTGACCTCAGATACTTACTTGCTGTGTGACCTTGGGCAAGTCTCTTAACCCTGTTTGCCTCAGTTCCCCCATCTGTAAAAATGAGCTGGAGAAGGAAATGGCAAATCACTCCAATATCTTTGCCAAGAAAACCTCATGAAGAGTTGGACACAACTGAAATGACTGAACAACATTGAGAAAGATGGGCAGAATGAAATAATAAAAAAATTACTGCTCATATTACTCTAGCGCTTTATAGTTTGCAATGTGTTTACTTCATAACATCCACAAGAGGTTGCTAGCATAAATATTATTGTGCCATTTTATAGATAAGGAAACTGAGGCTAAGATTTGCTCTGGGTCACACAGCTAGTAGATTAAAGAGCTGAGGCTGGAACCCAGGTCTTCTTTCAGCTGATTGCAAAATCCAGTGAATTTTTCACTGTGCCATACTTTTTTTTTTAAGCATGCATTTATTTATTTTTATTTTTTTGGCTAGGCAACGGGGTTAAGTGACTTGCCCAGGGTCACACAGCTAGTACATGTCAAGTGTCTGAGGCCGGATTTGAACTCAGGTCCTCCTGACTCCAAGGCCGGCGCTCTATCCACTGGGCCACCGAGCTGCTCCTATACATGCTGTTTTTGTAGCAGCTTCTGCTCAGCCAAGTACTCAGTGTGACTACCCAGCTAGAAAAACTGAGTTCCTTGTTGCTTCCTTTAGCTTACAAATGAGGGTACTGGTCAAATAAATATCACACACCAACCAGCAGAATCATGATTCAGGGAACCTGAATCCCATTTGCTTCAATTATTTCTTCAAGAGCAGAATAGAATGTAGTTGGTAGAACACTAGGCTTGGAGGCAGGATGACCTGAATTCAAATCCTGGCCTCTCTACTGCTTATGAGATGACTTTGAACAAGTACCTTAATTTCAGTGAGCTTCAATTCCCTTATTAGTAAAATGAAAATAATAATACTTGCTGTATTAACCTTACAGGTTGCTGTTGGCTCAAACAAGCTGATGTATGTTAAGCTTTTTGAACATTTATAAATACTATGTAAGTATCAGTTATTATATTGACATGATATGTTTAAGTGAAAGGAGGCCTCTGAATGTGTCATTCCTTCTGAATGTTGTTTCAAACATCACTTCCTTCTCCCAACTTTAATCGGGAAAGATTTTTGGCTCTGAGTGCATCTGGGTGAGGTCATCTTATCCAAATCCTATCCTCACCTATGCCATTGATACCATAGCCATCATTATCTGTACTACCCACGAAGAAAGTTTATTCTCAGTTCCTGTCCTCTGAAGAAGTTATCCAGAGCTGTTCTGTGAGGCCCAGAGTGGTTGCAGTAGATTATCTTAGGCAGCCAGAGGGACCTTGGCACCTGACAGTCAGGAGACAGAAATGGCAGGAAATGGGAGAAGACACCAAAGAAATACCTGGTCTATAATCTTGCCTAAGCTGACCTTGGAACAATCAGAGGAGAAAACATTCCAGGTATATTCTTCCCTGGCCCAAATGGATTCTTTTCCCTCCCTGAGGGTGTTGTGGGATTTCTGTCTCCGTGAAGGGCCTTGTGTCCATAGGTCTCTCCCACAGGTCTCCACCTACCTTGTTAAAAGTTGATTTGTGGGTGTCTTTGTATTGCTTTCCTTTTGCAAGACTGTGATGCTCACCTCATATATCAGCATCACTAATTGTGGCTGTGATCCATAGTGTCCTTTGTACTCAAGGACTAAAATACCCCCTTGATATGGTCTATTTACGGGAGTGAAATGTGAACTAATTACAGCATTCTTTTTTTTAACTTTATTTTATTTTTAATTAATTTATTTTATGGAATAAAAAAAGCATTTAAATAACATAGCATAATAAAAATATGACTGCACATGAAACTGCAAATCTATTATGTACAACTTGCTATTCCTTTCAAATATATAATAAAGTTATTGTTTCTTTTTTCTAGCCCAACAGTTCAGTACATTCTGAAGGACAAGAACCCTTTAACCAATTTCTTTACCGCAGAGGAGTTAAAATACCAAGTGTTCTATTCATATAAAAAGTTATATGTGTGTATACATATACATACATTTTTATATATTATATATATGTATGTAAACACACACAGATATCTCACTGGTTTCCTAGTACTGCTGTAAAAAGAATTGTCTGCTATAAATATTAATAGCAGCACTTTTTATAGTAGCTTAAAAAGTAGAAACAAAGTATATTCACATCAATTGGGGAATGATTAAACAAAATGCACAGTGCATGAACATAATGTAATATTACTTCTCTATAAAAATGAATAGAATTTATATAATTATATATTATTCATATAATTTTATATATTTCATATTTATATAAATATTATACCATATTATATTATCCATATATCTTATATAATTATATATAATATGATATGATAATGTTATATTATTACAATTATTAATATAATTAATTAAGAACATAAGAATTGACACAAAGTGAAGCAGAACCTGTAATGCGATATATACAACAACTATAGCAATATAAATGGAAAGAACAACAAAATAATTAGAAAGAACAAACAAACTTGGCCCTGAAGAGGAGATACAAGAATTCTTTAGGCAGCTAAATAATAGAGTGGTAGAATACTGCACCTGGAATAAAGAAGACATCAGTTCAAATCTGGTTTTAGATACTTACTAGCTACATGACCCTGGGTAAGTCACCTCTGTTTCCTCAATTTCCTCAACTTTAAAATGGGGATCATGATAGCACCTACCTCTGAGGGTTGTTGCGAGGATCAAATGAGATAATATTTAAAAATCACCTGGAACATAGTAGGCACTTAGTAAACGCTTGTCCCCTTCTCCTTGCTTTGCAGAAGTGAGGGACTATGGGTGTGAAATATTTCATATAATGTTGGATTTGGTGTTAATAAATTTTGCTGAATTGCTTTTTTCCCTTTATTTTCTATTTTTTCATTATATGAGATAGCTCTCTGTATGGTATAAATAAAAAAAAGATATCAATAAAAATAAAACAAATAAAAAACACTTTCCACAAAGTGATATAGTAATAGCAGTAGCTAACATTTACAGGTACTTGCTATGTTCCAGGCACTTTGCTGAGAACTTTACAATTATTACTTCATATATGGCCCTTCCACTCACCGTTCCATTCTCTTGTTGCAGTCTCTACCATAAGCACTGATTCAGCTCTGTCGGGATATCTCTTGGTGACATAAAACTTTGGGCTTATTTTGGATCCAGCTGAGGTGTTCCAGAAGACTGAGTCATAGCTACTCACATCGCTGATGCATCTTATGGAGAAATTCTGTCCTTCAGAAATAGCAATCAGGTCTGGAGTTACCGTCAGATTGGCTGAAAAAAGCAAAACAAAAACAGTGCCAAAAACATCAGTCTTTTTTGGTAGTATCCAGAGGGAAAACCTCTTAGGATAAAGATGGCTACAATGGACCGTCCTGTCCTTGGTCTGGACAAGATGGGGCCCTCAGTGTTCCGCTGTTTGATTAGTTTCCAGTCTGTTGCTGATGGTGCTTTGAGCCACACGTTTCCACCACATCCCCTCGGAACTTGTTCACTTCCTCTTGCGGCTTAGAATTATATCCTGATAATCAGCAGTGACAAAAGGCTGAAAATTCACAGGTGTTGACCTCTAACCCAAGTCACACTGCTAACCCGCTCATTCCTAGCATCCTAACGTGGTTACATTAGAGCAGAGAAGAAAGAAACCAAGTGAGTGAGGGAATTCTAAACTCTATTAGATTGAACTGAAGGAATCAGAGGTGTTAGAAGGGAAGGCTGGGGGTGAGGTTAAGTGGTGAAGGAGAGGAGATGATCACGGTATTAAAATATTTAAAGAGCTATCACATGGAAGAGGGCTGACCTGTTTGGTCCTAGAAAGAAGAATTAGAGTCAGTGAGTTAATGTTATAATTGGACATGGGAAGTATGTTTGAAGATTTCGGTTTCACGTAAGGAAAAACTCCCTAATAATTATATCTGTCCCTAAGTGGAATAGGCTACCTTGCAAATAGTAAGATTCTCTATGTAGTCCTAAGTATTCCTTTTTCAATCAATGATATTCCTATATCAGTCATCCATCAGCAAATATGTTCTCCCAGTAGTACTATTTATTCCCATAGTCTTCAGGCCTATTCTTTCTTTAAAACAATTTTTGTTGATAGCTTTCATTTTTATAATTCCTATGTATTTATTTATATCCCTTCTTTTATTCCCTCCTAGAGAGTTATTTCTCAATAATGCTTTTTTTAAAGAAAAAAAAAGTTCCACAAAACAAATAAATGTATCAAATCCTTATGGCTTTGTGAGTTTATTTTTATATTTTTAGCTGGACTGGGTTTTTTAATTTAAAAAATTTTGTTATTTTTTGTTTGTATTTCACCTAGATTTCTTTCTTTTTCTTTTTTTTTTTTTTTGAGGCGATCAGGGTTAAGTGACTTGCCCAGGGTCACACAGCTAGTAATGTATCAAATGTCTAAGGCCACATTTGAACTCAGGTATTCTTGATTCCAGAGCTGGTACTCTATCCACTGCACCACCTAGCTACCCCCTTCACCTAGATTTCTACTCATATTGCAACCCATGCTTCCTTCCAGAGAGTCATTCCTTATAATAAAGAACTTTTTAGAAAGAAGAAGAGGTGTAGTGGCAAAGAATTGGAACCTGAAGGGATCCCTGTCAATTCGGGAATGGCTGAACAAGTTATGATATATGAATATAATGGAATACTATTGCACTGTAAGAAATGATAAAGTGGGTGGTTTCAGAAGAAAACCTTTGAGGAAGGGACTCTGAATTTAAGGAGGGTTATCAATTTATCTCGGCCAGGTGGCTCAGTGGGTAGAATACCAGGCCTTGAGTCAGGAAGATTCGTCTTCCTGAATTCAAGTCCGGCCTCAGACACTTCCTAGCTGCGTGACCCTGGGCAAGTCACTTAACCTGTTTGCCTCAGCTTCCTTATCTGTAAAATGAGCTGGAGAAGGAAATGGCAAACCACTTTAGTACCTTTGCCAAGAAAACCCTGAACAGTGTCACAAAGAGTCAGACAAGATTAAAAAATGATCAAACAGCAACATCTATTTAGAGTTGAAAGGGACTTTAGAGGCCATACAGTCAAACCTCCTCATTTTGTGACACATTTTTATACTACCTTGGAAAGGAAGCCTTTCCTGATCCCCTCTTCCCAGACCCTGTCTCCACCCTGAGCCTCACCTCTTCCTATGTTGTCTCCCCTTCTCCCCCAACGACCCTCCAGTGTAAGCTCTTTTGACAGCCCCAACTTGCTTCATGACTGTAATTGCATTCCCTGCTCTAAGCACAGTGCCCGGCACATAGTAGGCTCTTCAGAAATGCTTACTGAAAACGCTGTGAAATTCTAATGACCTTGCTTCATCTCAAAGAAGAGAAGATTCCCTTCTCTGTCTCCCAACACATGCATGCATACGTACACGTCTATACACACATGCACATATACATATACACACATTCTGCTCCATGTCTGTGAAATTCTACATATAATGTCAGAATTGTTTTGATACATTTGTTTGTTTTGTGTCTTTTTTTAAAATAGATTTTGTTGCTAGCTTTCATTTTCATAATTCCTATATATTCCCCTACATCCCTTCTTTTACTCCCTCCTATTTTAAAAAAAAAGACAGGTCTAGAGACTATGGAAATAAATAGTACTACTGGGAGAGTATATTTGTTGATGGATGATTGATGGATCAAGGCAATACAGGTTATATAAAAATAAAAGATATCAAAATTATTTTTAAACAGATAGGTCTAGAGGCTGTGAAAATAAACAGGTCACTACAAGGTAAAAAAATTTGTTGAAGGACAATTAATTAATCAAGGTAATGTAGATAGGCCATAGGCCCTTTGTGTATTGGCAGCCACAATCTTTCACTACCTTCTCTTTCAATTCCACTCTCCTTGTTCTTCATTTTAATCAGAGTTTACCTTCCTAAAAACATTAGGGGCATCTCTGTACATAAGTAGTCTGGACTTCAAATAAAAGCCTTTTTAGCTTGGTAGATTCTTTCAGAGCCGAGTGAGCACAGCCTACCCTTACCTCCAGCCCCCACCAGCTCCATAATGGAATTTGTCCCAGTGTGCTCTTCTTCTCCAAGTCTTTATTAATTGTAGAAATGCATAATGAATGTGTACCTAACAACACACCCCAAAATATTGCCTTGACCAACACTGCTTTGCAAGAATGCCATTAACATAGGATCACAGCTGGAAGTGAATGCAAAGATCATCCAATCCAATCTCCTCATTTAAAAATGAGGAAATTGAGGCCCTGGAAAGGGAGGTGACTTGTCCAAGGTGACTTTCTAAAGGTAGTTAAGAACTGAAATTCAAACCTGAAGTGAAATAAGTAGAATCAAGAGAAGTTTTGATTCAGTAACTGCAATATTGCTTGAAGAACAACTGTGAACAACTAAGTTATTTTGAGTATGATAAACACTCAAATAAATTACAAATGATCCATGAAGGAAGATGCTATCCACCTCCAGAGAAAGAATTGATAAATAGAAGTATGTATAGTATGATTTTACATATATGCATATACACACATATCTGTGTCTAACGGTAGCCTTCTCTAGTGTGGGTGGGCAGAGAGAGAGAAAAAAATGCGCAGCAGAAAACAAACAAACAAAAAGCAGAAGGGAGCACAGAAAGCCAGGGTAGCTCTGAAAATGATGTGTAATATTTGTTACACATTTTGTTCAAAAAAAGTAAATTGTGAAATGGAGATTCATGGTTTCATATTGAATCCTTTTTTTGTGTTATGCAATGTATATGGAAAAAATTTGGGTTTTTTTTTTGGTATTTCAGTTCAAAATGAATTAAAAATTAAAAAAAAAAGAAATTCAAATCCATTCTGACACCAGATTGATGGCTCTTTCCACTGCTCCTGTCAGAACCAAAAACTGGTAGTAAATTTGTGAACTCCATTGTTACACCATTAGACTCATCAAAGAGCCCTGACTCCCTCTTCCTACACCTGAAGTTGTGGCTTGATTTCCTTATCTCCTTTCTTAGAGAACAAACTAACCCCTGAAACATTTTTTCACATGATATTGTGGGGTGTCTTTTTTTTTTTAATGGAATCAATGATGGTAGGAAGGATGTAGCTGACTATTGGCCCCAAAGACAGTCATTAAAATTGGCATGGAGAGTCTAACCCCGGAATTCCCATCATCCCAAAGAACAAAGTCTTACCCACAGATGTAAATGTGACTTTTATCTTCCTGCTGCTGTTGGCTCCATGGCCACTGTGGAACCCACATATGTAAAATACCTCCGTTCCAGCTGAGCCACTTAGACACTGAGTTCCATCAGCCTTGATGGTATGTTTACTGCACCTGGAATCTGAGGAGCTGATTCCTGCAAAGAAGCAATTGTATGGCTATTACTAATGACTGCCTCATTGATTTAGTTTCAATAGAGGATGGGGACTGGACCTGTCAGTTTTATTGGTATAGAGAACTCCCAGATGAGGAAATTTCCTCTACCAAGGCTGGCCAGCACCATCTCTGTAACTTAAACCTTTAAAGAAATGACTAGAATACTAAGAGTGTAAATGTGAGGCACTGGCCAAGGGTTTTTTTTTTACAAATATTATCTCATTTGACCCTTACAAAAACCCTAGATGTTCAGTCACTTCAGTTGTATCCAATTCTTTGTGACTCCATTTGGAATTTTCTTGGCAAAGGTACTGGAGTGGTTTGCCATTTCCTTCATTTTACAGATGAGGAACTAAGGCAAACAGGGTTGAGTGACTTGCCCAGGGTCACACAGCTAGTAAGCATCTAGGGCCAAATTTGAACTCTGGAAGATGAGTCTTCTTGACTTCAGGCCCACCACCTACCTACCCCCAATAATCTCAGAAGGTAGGTGTTATTATTATCCCCTTTTACAGATAAGGAAACTAAGGCAAACAGAGTTTAAGTAACTTGCCCAGGGTTATTCAGCTAGTAAGTGATGCCAGATTTGAACTCAAGTCTTTCTGACTCCAGGTCTGGTACTCTATCCACTGTGCCACCTTCCCATAACACATATAAGAGTTCAGCTGCAGGACGGAATTTGGAATCAGGAAACTGGTTTTTCAGTTGTGGTTCTGTCTAACTCATTCAGCCTTCTTATGCTTCAGTTTTCCCATCTGTACAATAGGGTTAATAACATTTGAACTTTCTATTTCATAGGACTCTTGGGTGGAAATCATGTGCTTTTGTAAACTCTGAAATGCTATATAAATGTGAGTTATTAGTATTGCCCTAGAAGAGCAGGTCAAGTTATTTACAAGTTACACTGGTCATGTCATGTAAAATAATGAAGCTGCCTACTTACCTGGAATGCTGATTAGTCCCTCCTGATTCCATTCAATATTACTCAAATTAAAATCTTTCCTAGTGCAACAACTCAAAGATACGGATTGTTGTCACACATCACCTTCAGGTCTTCTGATGCTTCAATTTCTGTGGAAATCACATTGATTTTTTTCCGGCCCTCATAGTCAAAAATGTCATATGTTAGAGTACAAACATATTCTCCTGAAAAAAAAAATCCAAAACATATCATCTTATTGGTTATTATTACATGAAAACAAGTCTTTAAAGTAACTGAAGGGGGGCAGCTAGGTGGTGTAGTGGATAGAGCACTGGCTCTGGAGTCAGGAGGACCTGAGTTCAAATCTGGCCTCAGATACTTGACACTTACTAGCTGTGTGACCCTGGGCAAGTCACTTAACCCCATTGCCTAGCCAAAAAAATAAAATAAATAAAAATAAAGTAACTGCAGTCACTAGTCACATGTTATATCAATACTTAAATATTAAAAATAATTCTAAACCTTTGGATATCTTTAAAAATGAAAATGAAAGGCTTCTCAGTTTGGAGAAAATTTTGGATGGTACAGATGGACAACTTGGGTCCTTTGGAGGCCAAAAGTGAAAAGGTAGGGAGATGAGAAGGGAACGGAGGCAAATCAGGCAAATGAGAAAGATTAATGTTTAATAAAGGGGACAAAAAGGTGCAAGTTGTAAAGCCCTGGGGAAATAGAAAACTTCGGATAAAAAGCCTTACATTTACATGGCAGACTCAAGACTCATGAGCCTGGTTACACCTAATTACAGTTGAGGAGTTAGACAAAAGAAGTGGAATAAAGGTTATCATCAGAACAATATATGATTGGGGTCAAGGGAGAGGGGTGGGTAGAAAGATGTTCCAGTCATTTAGTAATATTGAGGGAGAGCTGATCACCAATTTGTGTGATCCATTAATACCACACCCCCTCCCAAGTCAGGAGAGCATGAGGAAGGACCCTGGCATGTCAGGTAGACCTCCTGTGGCAGATTTACCAGAGGACGTGGGCAACAGGCTACATGATATAGTGGCACAGAGAGCCAACCTCAAAGTCAGGAAGCCCTGGGTTCTAGTCCACCTCTGACACATCCTGGCTGTGTGAGCCTGGTCAAATCACTTGCCAAAGGGGTCCATGAAACACAAAATTGATTAATGATCCCTGCCTTAGCTTATAATTCTTGGCTTTGGTTACTATATGGCCACCTCAAACACCATTGGGGATCATTGAATTGTAACATGCAACATTTACTACAAGTTTTTTGTTTTGTTTTTTCAATTAAGAAATGAAAGTAATACTTGTGGGAGCTAACTTTATAGCTCTATCAAAAAACAAGTAGGGGCAGCTTAGGTGGGGCAGTGGATAGAACACCAGCCCTGAAGTCAGGAGGACCTGAGTTCAAATCTGACCTCAGACCAAATGCTGTACACTTAACTAGCTGTGTGACCCTGGGCAAGTCACTTAACTCCAATTGCCTTAAAACAAAAAAACAACAAAAAAAGTGCCAACCGACGAACTCAAAACAACCTAACCCATGAAGAATCTTTATGGTCTGCAACAGATTTGCTTGATTTCTACAGATTCCAGCTTAGTTTTTGGTTCATTTTTTATGGCTTGAAGAACTTTCTTGTTTATCAGCTTTCATCACACACTCCCACCCCAATCAGCTTACTGATCAAGAAGAAAACAAACCTACCAGCATCAGTCAGAGAAATATTACTAATAGTGAGGGTTGATATTGACATTTGGTGACTCAGATAAGTGTAAATGGAGAATCTACTGCTGTTCTGAATGTCTGTGGCCCTTTCAAAATGGCGCCAGGTTACATTTGTTGATTGCACTTCATTTTCACACTTCACCGTCACTGTATCCCCTTCATAGATGATTTCTGGGACAACGGAGAACTTTGTTTCATCTGAAAATCCGGGTGAAAGATGTCACAATCAAAACACAAAGAAAAGCCAGAATGCTGGAAGGATATGTATTCAGTGAGCCCTTGCCTGGAATTTCATTGCTCCCACAACCACCAAAAGTTCTCTCTAGTAACTTTGTGGCACATTCCAAGTGTAAAACATGAAGCAAATTTGACATACATTCCTTATTTTATCTGCAATAATTGAAGCTGCAGATGATGATACATATGGTTATAGTAGGAGGATATATATATATATATATCTCAAAGTATTTCACAGATAAAATCAAAGTCACTGATTGATTAATTCTGTTTCTTCCTCCTAACCATTGTTCCTTTATATTATACTGCATACTTTTCTTTATTTTTATGTCTTATATCCTGTTCTTGAATTTTGAATTCAGTGGAAGACAAGGGGAGGGTAAGCAAAGAGCAGGTAATGGATGTCTTTCTTGTACTGACCAGTCTTTTACATTAAACTACTCATCATTCATCATCTTGTAAGGATGAAACTCTAAACAAAATCATTAAAATTAATTTCAAAAAATAATAGAATGCCAGGATAGACTTTAGAATTAATTTAGGTTGGGGCAGCTAGGTGGCACAGTGGATAGAGCACTGATCCTGGAGTCAAGAGGACCTGAGTTCAAATCCGGCCTTAGACACAGTACTTCTTAGCTGTGTGATGCTGGGCAAGTCACTTAACTCAAATTGCCTTGCAAAAAAAAAAATTTAGATCAACTACCTGTCCAATGTATGAATCTCTTCCTGTAATACCCTTTTATGGACTTCAATCAAACTCTCCTTATGTACTTCCAGCAATGAAGAGCTTCCTACTTAACTAGGTAGCCCATTTCATTTTTGGATAATTATAATTGTTATGAGATTGATCTATGGACATAGACGTAGATGTGTACATGTATATACATATATTTATTCATATATACACATACATATATATTTATTTTTACATACATACATATTTATTTTATATACAGATATGTGTGTATGTATATATGTCATAAACATATATGTCTATGTATGTATTTCAATATTTTACCTTTGGAGACACCCCAAAAAAGTCTATTCTCTTTTCCACATAAGTCCTTCAAAGCTTTCTATGATCTTCTTACTACCATCCTCCACCCTTCCCTGACACATTTCTGGCCTTGAATTCTGACACATCTTAAAACAGCAAGATGATCTGCTTTCTAAATATGATTAAATGTTCTTTTATAGAGCACTGAAACATACATTTAAAATTAGATCCTTCATTACTTAAGCAAGTGACTATCTTTGAATATCACTTACAGTCATCGTTACTATCACTGTAGTCAACAAAATGATAGCCATTGCCATTCTGATTTTAGCAAACACTCGTTATCAGGAATAATTGAGAGAATTGGGTGCTCTAGATAACTGAGTTATCACATATGGATTGTCAATTTTGAGAGAATCTGGATATGACAAATATATGCCTAATATAATTTTTCTGAACATTAGTCTCTCTTTTTTAATGATTCAATACAGCTTGTTAAGACTTAATAGTGCTATGGAGAAGGAGGGTCATCATTCTGAATATAAATTCTTATTATATAGTACTGCTGATGTGGGAAATACAGAAGATTGGACTGAATAGGTCTTCCTTGTAGGGTGTCCTTTTGTGAATATATTCCTTATATTAGCATTTAAAAAACCCCACACATTTGACTTTCTCAGGGTATTAGAGCAGAGAATACTGTTCCAGTGATACGAGTTTACTTGTGATTTGGGTTTCAAATCAATGAAACTTTACCATATGGAGGGGAATCATGATGAGGGTGTTTCTACATGAAGTCATACTTACTTTAAAAAAAATTTAAGATTAGAGGATCACAGATCTAGAGCTGGATTTGGGATTGGGAGTGCCATAGGAGGAACTTGTTCTCTAGGTCTTGATTTATACAGTTTTGCATTTTGGGCAGAATTTCATTCTGTTTACAAGAAAATGTAAAGAATTGAAGTCCTTACTCTCAGTAGCTGCATCAAAGGAGAGGGTCCACTCTATACGTTGAATTGATCAGTGTCTTGACTCGATCATTTGCTTCATTCATTTGCGTTGGTGTTGGTTTTGTTGCCTGGATATTGTAGATAACAACAATACTTCCAGGCCTGCACAAGCACCAAAATGATAAAAATAATAATAGTTGACATTGACATAGAACTTTAGAGTCAACACAGCATTTTACACACATCATCCCACCTGATCTTCATAACTCTGTGGGTTAGGTCAGGGGCATATTATTATCCCTATTTTACAGATGTCAAATTATAGCTTTAGAGAGTAAAGAGAATTGTTCAAGGTCATAGACCACTTGGGTCTAGACCTCAGCTCTTCTCATGCCAAGTCTATCTATCCATTAATCCATCCATCTATCTATCTATCTATCTATCTATCTATCTATCTATCTATCTATCTATCCATCTATCTATCTATCCATCTATCCATCTAATGCATCTAGCTATCCATACATCTATCCATCCATCCATCCATCCATCTGTCCACCCATCCATCCATCCATCCATTTGTCTATCCATCTATCATCTATCTATCTATCTATCTATCTATCTATCTATCTATCTATCCATCTAATGCATCTAGCTATCCATCCATCTATCCATCCATCCATCCACCCATCCATCCATCCGTCCACCCATCCATCCATCCATCCATTTATCTATCCATCTATCTATCTATCTATCTATCTATCTATCTATCTATCTATCTGTCTGTCTGTCTGTCTGTCTGTCTGTCTGTCTGTCTGTCTGTCTGTCTATCTATCTATCTATCTATCCATCTAATGCACCTATTCATCCATCCATCCATCCATCCATCTATCCATCCACTGCCTATCTACTTATCTATCCATCCATCTATCTGTCTTATCTATCTATCTTACAAATAAGGAAATGGAGATCCAGATGAAGAAATTACTAGCCCATGGTTACAGAACTAGGGAGAGTCTGAGCCAGGATTCAAACTTCAAGCCTCCTAACAAAAGATTTGGTGTACTCTACACTGTACCATGGTTTTCAATTATTCACCCCATTTTCCAGATGAGATTGAAGCCCAGGGAAGTTAAATGCCTTGTCTAGGGACACACACTTAGTTTGGAGCTAAGATTCAATCCCAGGTGTACTATCTCTAAGTCCAGTATTCTTCTTCTTCTTAACAAGTGAATAATAATATGCTTACCTGAAGCCTGTAATCAGCACTGATTTGAAGCCTGGTAAAATACTGTAACCTTTCCAGAACTGAAAAACAAAGGTAATTGGAAGAGATTTCAGAAGAGAGATTGGACTTTTTCCCCAACAATGAGACACTTTGGAAATAACAACTTCAAGCTGGAGAAATCTCACAGAATTTTAAAGCCTAATGTCAGTAACCTCTAATTTTCAGTGTCAATAGTAAAAGAATTTCCCCCCTTTAATTAGGGTAGCCCTGCTATTACATTCAAAAAGGCTGATTGAATGATTTATAATCTGGAGTTACCAGCTACCTGACATCCCATTAGGAGAAGGTATGAAGCTCTGATAGAGTCTGCAAGGTCTCTGTGATGTTGCACATGGCTCTGGAGAGCCTCTCTCTGAATGCTAGCTGTCCCTCCTAGAGAAGCTTCAGCAGGCCTGAGCTCCTCAGCCAGGCTCTGAAGAAGCCTTCTGTTCTACTAATGTAGTAACTCACCACCTGGCTTAAGTGAATATGCCCAAGGACACTGCTCTTAACCATGGATTAGGATGACATAGTTTTAGTATCAATGCTGCATGAAAATGCACCAAAAGACTTTGAAAATCCCATTTGCAGGTTGTGGGAAGACTAGAGCTGTAACAGGGGTGAGGCAATCACAGCCTTGCCCTAGGGTGTCAAAATTTAGAGGGTCCTTATAATGCATGTGTACCTTCAGCACACAGAAACAACTGCTTCGCATTTAGTAAGGATAATTTGTTGAGATAGCAAGCTACTAGACGGCAGCTTCACCCCCAGGTAAGTGCTTCTCCAACTGCGTTCCATTTTGTACCTTCCTTGCTTGCCATCTCTCCAGCATCTGTCCCTCTGTGTGTGTGTGTGTGGAGTGGGCAGTGGGAGGATAGGAGATGACTGTATCATAGGATCTTACCCATCATGGGACCAGTTCATCTCAAAGTACAAGCTCTTCTCTGAGGTCTCTGACCTATTCCCAAATAAATTTGTCTTAAAAAGCAGACCTTGGTTTGCCTTCTGTGGTGCTTGCCCTGAGCACTAGAATTGCTAGCTCTGGCTCTGCTAATGGATGCCTAATAAGTGTGAGGGGCCAATGTTTTTGGATAGCCTGTCATTTTGTCCCTTCATATAGCATTAATGCAGTAAATTAGAATCACTAACTCTTCTGTCTACATCAGTTTTCCTCCCACTTGTAGTTCCATCCTTTTCCTATGGCTCTCCTTACAATGAGGGAAAAATTGTGCCTCCTACTCTAGGAGGGCCTGACAGTCCAATCTTAAATCCCTGTATGTTCTATATTCTCAGTACTATAGCTATACCATCCAAAGGAGTGTATCTTCTGAGCCTCAGTCATTAAAAGCAATACCCAAACCTGCTCTCTTATTGAGGAGAATTTGAAAATGACCTTAACACACAGTGAAAGGGCAGCCCCAGCTTAAGGCAAAGTTATTGAATGTTTGCTTTTACTCTCCTCACTCAGACTGGAAACTGAGACCGAGAGAGAGTTTGTTGTTTTAAAGGCTCCTCTAAATGGGTACATACCGCTCTTTCCAAATCTGTTTTGTACGACCTATACAGGGCAGAGGAGGAGTTCTTGAGATCTTCCTGAAAGTCCATCTTGAGTCTGACTGACATCCTTAGTGTAATATCTTGTTAAACGGAGAAAAGAAAAGTAAAAGAAAATAAAAGTTTCATTAAAACTGAATAAAGCAGGGATGAGGGGAGGATGGGAATTTTTAAATCTCAAGAGAATTGTCTACAGTACTGCAATAGAGAATACTAAACAATCTAGAGAATTCCTCGGGCTAATGTCAGACATTAGCCAAAACAAAAGAAATAGCAAAGACACAAACGGAGCTGCTGCTTACCTTTCAGAATGACTTCCTGACAATAGGGTCCCTTGGCAGGCATTTCCTTGAGGCAGCTACAGTCTTCTGGGGCTGAGCTGTGATAGCTTTGACAAGTGAGGTTAGGAAGGCACACTTCCGGGAGCCACTTATATCCACTTTCACAAGAACAAACAGTCTCATTCCCATTGGGCCTGCATACTAGCATCAACCAAAAAGAGAGGGTAGAGAGTTGTGATTTTTTTTTTTGCAATAGGTCAGACATTTCAATAAGATTACTCAAATACAAGTACAAATGCAAGTACAAATATGTGTATCTTATGAAATGTAAGCTCCCTGAGAACAGGCACTCAATTTCCCCGTCCCTTCCCTTCCTTCTTTCCTTTTTTCCTTCTTTCTTTCCTTCCTTTTTTCCTTCCTTCCTTCTTTCTTTCCTTCCTTCCTTCTTTCTTTTCTTCTTTCCTTCCTTTCCTCCTTTCCTTCCTTTCTTTTTTCTGTCTTTCCTTCCTTTCTTTCCTTTTCTCTTTCTTTCTCTCTCTTCATCTTTCTCCCTTCCTTGATCTCTTCTTTCTTTCCTTCCTTCTTTCCTTCCTTCCTTCCTTCCTTCCTTCCTTCCTTCCTTCCTTCCTTCCTTCCTTCCTCTCCCCTCACTTCCTTTCTTCCTTCCTTCTTTCCTTCCTTCCTTCCTTCCTTCTTCCTTCCTTCCTTCCTTCCTTCCTTCCTTCCTTCCTTCCTTCCTTCCTTCCTTCCTTCCTTCCTTCCTAACCAGCAGCTGGTGAAGTGCCTGGCACATACCAGGTGCTTATTATATGCTTGTTGATTCATTGATTGATTATATATAATTTTCCAGATTTGTAGGAAATTCAAATTGGACTTTGTCAAAACTTTTCTAATTTGTCTTAGTACTATAATTTCTATAGCCACAAACATCACACACTGGTACAGCATTATGTACTGGTAGCTAAAAGATCATGCTGTGACCCTTTCTACCAGCTGCCTGTTCTGACTAATAATAAATGGCTTCCTGGATGTAAGTGTAAACGGGTTTGTGCTGTGCACATTTCAAGTCAAACTTGGCCAGAACAGGGTGGTACTGGAAGGGTGCTGAAACAGTCTTGCAAACACAAGCTGGCTAGACTTTTCCTAGGGCTGGTACCCAGGTGAAATGTTTCCTCAAAGCTTTCTGCAAAATGAGAAAAACAACTAGGCTCTGACTAAACACTCAGATTGTAATTCAGCCTTTTTCAAGGGCAGAAGATGTGCTCAGGCTTTATGTGATCGCTAAGTAAGCAAAGCCAGGGAAATCAGCTCTTTGTTCTGGAAGGGAAGTGAACAGGGTTGGCGTTATACATAGGTTGTATAGGGATGCCTGCCTGGTGTAATATGAGGGGCAGTGCGAAGGCACTGCTTCCTGTGTTCAAAAATGCTTCTCCTCTGCCCTGAAATTCCATCATTAGAAATTGTTACAAACAGCTAAAACAACAACCTAAACCAAAACAGAATACTATGTAATTAAGACCATCGAGCTTGGCTCCAAAGAAAAAAAGAGAAAATCCCCCTCCTTTTCTTTTTTGCAGTGATAAGGGGACTCTGAGTTTGGAACATTGCATATATTGTCAGACTTCATTGATGTGTGTATTAGATTTGCTGAATTACTTTAAAAAAAAGTTCTTCATTACAAGGAATGACTTTCTGAGGAAGGGGTGGGTAAAGGAACATGCGTGGAAATAAAGGTGATAAAAAACCAAAAGATATAAATTTTTAAAAATGTAATTGGATGCAGTGATATCCATTGTATATAAGCATATGCAAAGAGTGTGGAATTTTGACAACATGTTGAAACTATTATCTACCATCAGAACCCATCTCTGATATGGTCCATCAATCCTTGGGAATTTCCTGAGGTTAAAGTACTTTGCTCAGGACCATGAAGCTAGTAAGTGGGGGATTTTAACCTAGGTCTTTCTGACTCTAAATGCCATCCATTACCCACACTATCTCTTTCTCTCTATGTAAGTGTAGTAATTCTTAGAATGGTGGTCTGGTAGAGAATTCCCCAGATGTCTGTGAGAATGCTCTATTCCATGTTGTTTGTACTCTGCTTTAAGGTAATGAAGAGAATGTATATTGAAGGAGTAACTCAGAACAATAGAAAGTACCCTGAGTGTTCAGGAGAGGACAGAGAAAAGAAGGGAAAAGTTGGTACTACCATGTGAAATTTGATGACTGCTTAAAAAAAATACTTTGTTGTTCAGCCGTTTCAGTAACATTTGACTCTTCATGACTCTATTTGGAGTTTTCTTGGCAGAGATACTATAGTGGTTTGCCATTTCCTTCTCCAGTTCATTTTTACAGGTAAGGAAACAGACAAACAGGGTTAAGCAACGTGCCCAGGGTCACACAGTTGGTAAGTGTCTGAGACCAGATTTGAACTTAGGAAGATGAGTCTTCTTGACTGCAAGCCTGATGCTCTATCCACTGTACCACCTGGTTGCAGCTCCCCCAAAATATGCAATCCTTTTTGCTTATGGAAATGTTCATGTTTATTGATGATATTCAAATTCATAATAATCATGATTTTAAAATTAAAAAGTATGTTAATAGACCTGGGTTAAAATATTGCTTCTAATGTTTTTTTGGGCAAGTCCCTTAACCTCCCTGGGCCTCAGTTTCTTTATCTGAAATGAAGGGGTAGGACTATATGGGCCTTTAAGATGCTTTTCAGCTTCACTTCTATGAACCTTATGAATGAAAGGAAAGAAAGTGCTACCCATAGCTGCGAAATCCAGTTCTAGGAAAACCATGCCTTCCACTGGATGGAGAAATCAAACTGCTTAGGTATGCGTATTAAGCAGACCTAAAGAAAGAATAATTACAAAATAAGGAAGTAGCAGCAAAAGATTCTGGAAAATCCCCACATTGTCCAACAGAATAAATTTTATGCTAGATAGTGGTTAATGGGGAACAAGGTGGCCTTGTGTCAATGTCAGTAGTGGTCAACCAGTACCTTACAGTATGGTGCCCCACCCAGACTTCCTTTCCTAGGACAGGCCCCTATCTTCCTTTCCCTCTTCTATCCCTCCCTCCCCCAGATCAAAACTTTAATCTACAATCTACGAATTAATTAAGGAGGTACAATTTGATGCATACTAAGGCGCCTTTTCTTGGGCAGCTAGGTGGCGCAGTGGATACAGTGTCAGGCCCGAGGTCAGGAAGACTCATCTTCTTGAGTTCAAATCTGCCCTCAGACCTTTAGTAGCTGTGTGACCTTGGGCAAGTCACTTAATCCTTTTTAGCTCAGTTTCCTCATCTGTAAAATGAGCTGGAGAAGGAAATGGCAAACTACTGCAGTATCTTTGCCAAGAAAACCCCAAATGGGGTCATGGAGAGTCAGACACAACTGAAACAACTAAACAACAACAACCACCTTAAACTCACTACTATAATTGGTGAGGGAAGGGGGAGAAAGAGGGTATTGGAATTTTGAAGATCCTGACAGCAGTTATCTTGTAAGTTCACTGGCACAGGGAACTCCCAATGAGAAACACTTTCTATCAATGTGGATTGACACCTGCTTTGAAACTTGGAGTCTTGGAGAATTTCCTAGAACACTGGGAGGTAAAGTGATTCTCCAGGGTTGTATAGCCTCTATTGTGTCAGAGATAAAACTTGAAGCCATGTATTACTGACTTCAAGGTGAACTCATTATGGCACAATACTTCTAATGTACTTACTTAGCCAGGATATTCAATAAAAATCAGAAGCTACTGAACTTTCCTTTTTTGGACTTTGCATTCTTGCTAAATTCATCTCTGGTCTGACCCTCTTCTTCTTCACTCTTATTCTGAAACAGATTCCCAGGAAGTAGCCTCATAGTTTCCTGAGTTCTCTGTCCCTGGGAACTGATGGCCCACGGGGTGGAGTTTTGGGGTCTCTCCCCACGTGGTCCCTTGAGTTCTCAAATCTCTCCTCCATAAAATTGTATTTGTTTTTAAAAGTTGATTTGAGGACCCATTTCATGCTGCTTGACCTGACTGCTGAGATTGCTTGCTATGTCTCTGCTCAGTCCTTGGGGAGGGTGGACTTGCTTATTAAATCAAATTTTTTTCTCATTGAAAAGAGCTCCTGAGTGCTAGTCTCCTAATGTATACATGCCCTTGAAGGATGCAACAGTGACTTGGTACTTACCTGTTGTAACTTTCATGCTTAAAATGTCAGTGCTCAGGTTGTCATTTATCACTTGGATTGGAAAACTGAGGTTTTGTAAGTAAGCTTTGAAAGGCTCCAAAAGTGATGCGTTTTCAAAACTTATTTCAATCTCAATATCATATTCTTCAGGTGCAGGACTGCTTGTGGCCACTGAAAAGAAAATATGAAAAGAAACATATCAGAAGGAGGAGAGGGAATGGTGGATGGAATATTATTCATAGCAGAGATTAATGGAGTGAGTTGGTGACTACATATATGTATATAGCCTTGTTGTTCAGTTGTTTCAGTCATGTCCGACTCTTTGTGACCCCATTTTGGGGTGGCAGAGATACTGGAGTGGTTTTCCATTTCTTTCTCCAGCTCATTTTACATATGAGGAAACCGAGGTGAACAAAGTTAAGTGACTAGCCCGGAGTCACACAGCTAGTAAGTGTCTGTCTGAGGCTGGATTTGAACTCAGGAAGACAAGTCTTTCTGACTCCAGGACTGGTACTGGATGCACTGTGCCACCTAGATGCCCATCACTTTCCCTTATCTCACAAATCTAATAAGTCACCAAATCTTGCTATTACAACTTCCACATTTCTGACACCCACCCCCTTCTTTCCACTTATCCAGCTGTCATCTTAATTCAAGTCTTTATCACTTTTCATCTAGATCATTGCAACAGCTTCCTAATTGTTCTCCATGACTCAAGTCTCACCACGTCAGTCCCTCAGTCCAACTAGCTGCCAAAGTGATGTTCCTTAAATCCAGGTCTGACCATGTCACACTCACAGTCAATAAAATTCAGTGGTTCCCTATTGCCTCTAAGATAAATGTAGCTCTTAAACCAGGTGATTTTTCTTCACCATGCAAACATGATTCATTGGAACACAGGCTCTGGAATTGAAGGAAATGGGTTCAAATCCTAGCCTTGCTTGTGTGAGTGGAAACAAAACATTCCCTCTCTTCATGTACACTACTCTTTTACCAATCTAATAGGTCCTTCTAGGTCCATCTAGGTCCTTGGGTGCAGCCTTTTGACTGAGTCCAAGTTTTACAGAACAAATCCTTTTATTAAATGGATTTGTTCTGTGAAGTTTGGATTCAGGGAAAGGGCCGCACTCGAGGACCTAGAAGGCCCCATGTGGCCTCGAGGCTGAAGTTTCGCCACCCCTGGAGAGCCTTTGCAACTTTGCCCCTAACTTTCTAACATTGCTGTACATTACTTTCCATCCCACACTTGACAGTCTAGACAAAATTGCCTCTCTGTTCCTCACACAAGACATGCCATCTTCTGTCTCTATGCAATCATCCAGATTGTCCCTTATGCCTCAGATGCACTCCTTCCTGAGCATCACTTCCCAGAATCCCTTTCTTTCTGCCAGCTGCAGATTCTTTGGGGATCCTGATTCTGACATCTAGCATGTCACTATAACTATCCCCCTCAGCTTTCTTGTCACCTATATACTTTGATAAATGTCTGTTTGCACCCACTGTGGTTTATACCTTTTTCTTCTGTGCACTAAAAGATATTTTATTGATGTTGTTTAGTTTGGCTCATCTGTAATAACCCACTAATCCTCACCCCCACCCCAACCCAAGCCCTTCCTTGTAATAAATGTCCAGCAAAACAAATCAACCTGATGGCTGTGTCTGAGAAAGCATAACCCTTGTGCATCTCTAGCCCATTATTTCTTGTCAAGAAATAGGAAGTACATTGTATTATCAGTCATCTGAAGTCATACCTATCTGGCACTGTTAAGCAGAATCCTACCTACTTATAGGGCAGCTAGGTGGCACAGTGGACAGAATCAGGAAAACTCATCTTCCTGAGTTCAAATCTGGCCTCAGACAATTACTGGCTGTGTGACCTGGGTAAGTCACTTAACCCTGTTTGCCTCAGTTTCCTCATCTGTAAAATGAGCTTCAGAAGGAAATGGCAAACCACTCCAGTATCCTTGCCAATAAGAGTCCGGCATGAAGAGTTGGGCATGACTGAAAAATGAACAACAACCTACTTAAAAGCATTACTTTGCAGACTAGGGACATTTGGAGGAAGGACAAGAAGTGTGGCATAAAAAAATCTGTTTTATTTTTTCAAACATAATAACATAATGATTTTTCTTCACAGTGCAAACATAATTCATTTGAACACGGGACCTGGCGTCGAAGGAAATGGGTTCAAATCCTAGCCGTGCTTATGTGACCTGGGACAAAATATAGCCTCTCTTCAAGTACACCACCCCTTTACCAATCTAACAGGAATAGGGAAAACTCAGTGTTTGGAATTATACTGGTTATCACCTCTAAGCAAGGGAAAGACATTTACATAAGGGCAGGAGAGCCTAGTGCTAAAATGAGAAGTCTTAGTGATAATAATAGCTAACATTTATTTACTGTGCTAAGTAAGCCGTTTACAAGCATTATCTCACAGCAACCCTGGAAAGTAGATGCTATTATTATCTCTATTTTACAGATGAGGAAACTGAGGCAAACAGATGTTAAGTGACTAGCCCAGGCCCACACAACCAATAGTGTCTGAGGCAGAATTTGAATTCAGGTCTTCCTGACCCCAGGTCCAGAGCTTTACCCACTGAGTCATCTAGCTGCACACTCAGCTCAATCTCGTTACTACTGATGCCACAGGGGAGAGTCTCCTCTTGATTCTCTGCCTTTATTTGACTCTGGTCTTTGAAAAAAATTGGCAGGAGGGTTCTCTGGGAGCCAGTGCTGATTAGCATTTGAGAACTGCCTTTCACTTTTCAATCCCTGGTTCTTAGCTAGCTCTTGCAAGAACACTTTCAGTTGAGTTAGGAATGATTGGGTCTCTGACTGTGCCTGCTCGTTAATATATCAATTTTAGACCCCATGAAGCAAAGACACCAATAGTTATTCAGCAAATGTTACCCGCTTAACGCTTTTATAAATGCTCTATGGTCAAGGACATCTTTACTGAGTGAAGGTAGCCAAGCCATTGTTCTAAGGACCATAGGACTGAGAACTAGAAGAGACCTTGGAAATCACTGAATTCAAGTCCCTCATTTTACAGATGAGGAAACTGAGGCTCATTGACTTGCCCAAGAGTCAATAGGCTAGACTTGGGACCATAGACCCAGAGCTGGAAGGGGATTCAGAGGCTAACTAGTGAAACCTCCTCATTTTGCAGGTGAGGAAAACAAGATCCAACCCAGTTGAATGACTTACCCAAGGTCATAGAGACAAAAAACACCAGATGTGAGAACAAACAAGGGCTTTGAGCCCATGTTCTCAGACTCCAGAATCAGAGATCATCTCTTGTACCATGCAACCTTTCAGGTATTGCTGTTCTCTGATTTTTTCTGACTTTGATGTCATATTTGGAATGTGGTCTATTCCAAGTACCATCAGTGCCAGAGAGGGTGGATCTATCACTAGACCCAGAAGGCATAAGCAAACAATGACTTCCCTTCTTCTTTCCCATAAATCTCTGCAGTACCCCACTTATCTTGAAGGGACATTTCTGGAAAGTTGGCCCCAAACTGTAATAAGTGATGTTGGCTTCTCCGATATAAAGGATTAAGCAAACAAAACTATTTTTCCAAGCAGTCCTGACAAGAACCATGGTTTCCAGTTACAGCCAGTAAAGGTAGGCATAAATTAACGTTCCACTCCACAGCCCAATGAAACATAAACATGCTGACTTCATCTAGTAGACAATGTCCTAGTACTCAGGAGGGTGGGAGAGAAGGAGGGAGATAATTCTTTATCAACATTAATTCTTTCTTTTCTTTTCTCCCTTTGGTCCCGAAGCAGGTGAATACCCATCCAAGCAGCAATGTTTTCATGTTCCTTCTGGAAACCATTCTCAATGGAGTGAAATTCTCAATGCAGATCTCCTAATTTGATGGAGTCTAGTCCTATAAGTTTCTTCACTGATCTGATATGATTACAGGAAGAGAAATAGCTTTAGTTAATGGACAGAAAATCGACCTCAGAGCCAGGAAAGCTGGGTCCAAGCCCTATCTCTACCATATTTTTTCCTAAGTCAACAAATCTTTGCAAAGCACCTACTATGTCTTAAGAATTGTTACATTAGTACCATACTAAGTACTGAGGATACAAAGTAAAAAACAGTGCTTTCTTCAAAGGGGCTCACTCTTTTTTTTCCTAATCATTCGTTTTTCAAAATATTTAGTTCCAAATTTTTCCTCCCTCCAGCCCCTCCTCAACTCGTTGGGAAGGCAAGCAATATGATTTCCATATTTTCCATATTCCAGTATTTCCATATTAGCCATGTTGCAAAAAAAAAGTGAAGGAGGCAAGAAAAATAAAGTGGAAAAATGTGCTTCAATCTGTACTCAGCTGTCTCTACCATATATTGGCTGTGTGACCCTGGGCAGGTAACTTCACCTCTCAGTGCCCAAGCAAATCTCAAAGACTATAAATTGCAGGGCAATTGCAAGTCTGTATTGGTAAAGAGATTTTCCCCAGTAGAAGTTCTCCATGGCAATGAAATCCTGGGTCCAGTTCCACCCCATTCCATGATCAAAGAACCTGACCCATCTTCAGGTGTGAAGAGTGGAACTGTCTGACTGAGGGAGCTCCTCAGACATCGGGTTACCTGTGACAGCTGGAGGTGCCATGCTAAAGTAGTCATGGAGCCCTGAGTGAGGTGAGGTCTTGCCTATTAGTCCCATCTCATCTATCGAGTGTGGTAATTAGGCTATATAACTTCATAGGACTGTTTTGACTCCAGTGATTAATAGCTAACTATGTGATCTGAGAGAAATGAGTATTTCTCTCTTGTACTACTAATTATTGAATAAGACTAAGGCTGTTTCCCCCCTTTTCTAGTTCCCCATCCAAAAATGAACCAGTGTGGGAAATCTTGGGCAAAGACTGTGGATTCCTGCTCAGTTTGTTTAGTCAGACAGGTCTGGGGAAATTAGATTCTCCCATTTGTCAGACTGGTGATATGGAGATTGATAAGTCTCTTTGACCAAGATTTGGGTAATTCAAGTCATGTACCTCAAGACCTTCATTGTAATATAGCCCACCTCTCATTGTAATATTCATTCTCTCATTAATTATTAACTAATCAGAATTAATTGCCACCCTAATAACCTGCTCTACCACAATCATATAAACTGTGAGCCCACTGCCATGAAAGGTCTTTGGTATTCTAG